GCCCTCCCCCTCTTGGTCTGTTTCCATGGGAGATATCTTAAGCTGCTTGCCTTGGGGTCAAAAGAAATAAGGCAACTTTTCTTCCTGTTTATCTGAGAACCCGAGGCACGTGCGTACGTATCAAAGATCAGCTGCACGCTCCTGACCTCTCTTTCGTCATTCAGGAGCAGCTAGATGTCATCGGCATGGGCCACGAACTTGATCCATATGGGAGCACCGGTAGGAAGGGCCGAACGGATCCCCGCTATCCCCTCCTTGAGCTGTATGTGGCACAGGACAGCGTCCAGAGCCAAGACATAGAGGAGTGGGCTCAATGGACACCCCTGCCTCACTCCCGATTGTAAATCGATGCGACTTCCCCTGTGTCCGTTAATCTGGGGGGTGACGGTGGCTTTGGCATACAGCAGTTTGAGGAACCCGACATAGGAGGGCGGGAGGCCCTTCCATCGGAGAACCCTCCACAAGAAGGAGTGGTGGACGTTATCGAATGCCTTGCTCTGATCTAACAGGAGAATCCGTCCCGCCCATTTCCTGTCCCGCACCAACTGGAAGATCTCCCGCATAAGACAGAGGGAGTCTATAATAGCTCTCCCCGGCACCGCACTGGTCTGGCACCCCACGACCAATTTGTGTGCCACGCTAGCCAGTCTCCTGTTCAGTATCTTCGCCAGGAGGCGATAATCCATGTTGGTCAGCGCAATGGGCCTCCAATTAGCCGGCAGCGTCAGGTCCCCTTTCTTAGGGAAGAAAATCAGAGTGCCCTGATAAAAGGATTTGGTGAGTCGCTCTCGGGCCAGTAATGAGTTAACACTTTTGTCAGAGGGGGAACGAGCCATTCCCGAAATATCCTATAAAATTCATATCCTAGCCCATCTGCTCCCGGGGTGGAATTTCCTTTCTCTGTCAAGATGGCTCACCTCACCTCTTCTTCTTCAATAGGTGCCTCTAACATCTGACTCTCCGCTTCTGTCAGTTTCCCATAGAGAGAGCCTGCTTTCTCTCTGGGAATGTCCTCCAAGAAGCGTTCCACCTCATGGGAGTCAATGCCCTTAGGAGCGAAAAGCTGCTGGTAATACCGCCCCATGATAGATAACATCTCCTGCGGGTGGAGGGCGACCGCGTCTCCTTCCTTCTCTCGCAGACCTTTCATCTCTATGGGTGTCTTTGGACTGCGAGCCTTCGCCCACTCCTCTACGTCAACAGCGGAGCCCTTCATTCTATAATCTCTATAATTTAGCTGGTTCCTCCTTTGGGTGTAGTGGAATTCCGCAATGACTTTCCTAGACCAGACCAAAACCCCTTCATCGTACGGTCGTCCCTGATTCATTCTGCTGTGGCACTGTAAGAAGTGAAAGACGGCCTCCTGGTAGTGCTGGAGTCCTCGTCTATTCACCGTAAACTCATACTTGTGGCAGCTGTTCCTAATCGCCCTCTTGGTCCTTTCCCACCATTCCGGTAACTCATCGAAATAGATGTCACGCAGGGTCAACATATTGGCCAAAACGGAAGCCATGTTGTCCCTGCAAGACTCGTCCAGCATCTTGGGTCTGAGTCTCCACAGGGGTCTGCCCCTAGGGTAGACCTGCCCGAAACTCAGCTCAACGGCCAGAATGGTGTGATCTGACCACGGGGTGACGACGATGTTGCATTTCTCTGTCTTGACCTCCTTTGGGGCTCTGAGCCGGTCTAACCTGCTTGCTGTATTCCCCGAACAGTAAGTGAACCTCACCCCATCTATAGTGGGAAAAGTATCTAGAAACGCCTTCCTGCAAGGCACGGGGAAGAAGTCCAACAAGTTAGGCACCTCCAAGGCTTTATCCCGGAGTCCTTGACTCATCAGGGATTTTTCCAGGTCCCTTTCCTCTGCACTCAGGGCCAGTGCTCTGCTCCGAGCGTGAGAGCTGACCGCACAAATCCTGTCGGATAATTTAGTCCTATTGTTGAAGTCTCCTGCTATTATCAACTGGTGCTGCGTGAAACAGAAGTTCTTGAATTTCTCCGGGAATTATCGACAGGTGCATAGAGACCACATAAGCGAAAGGGCCTTGAGATCTCCAAGCCGTCTGCCGACAAATCTTTTAAGGAGAAATCGATCACGATCAATCTCCCCGGGAGGGCCTCTAAAATGTTGTCAATATGGAGATTATGTTTTTCCCTAAATAGTACAGCTACCCCTGCACCACATTCTTCTCCGTAGGACCACACCGACGGTCCGTGGACCATAATCTCTGAGCGTGGCTCCTCTGCTGCTCGTTGCAGATGTGCGTCTCCTGTAAGACCGTGATATCATAGTGAAGCTTAGCTAGTTGTGGGATGATCTCCTCCCTTCTCTTTGGTTGTTGCAGACCTTGTGTGTTCCAAGTTGAAAGGCTAAGTGTTGCCATAAGTGAGAATAGATAAAGAAATTGCTGCAGTCTATCCAGTATACAAGGAATCGTAAAAGATCTCAATCTGCACTGCTTCCTGAAAGACACGAGCCCCGCTTCAATAAAGACCGCTATCCTCACGTCTCAGTTCTTGTTCCGCTCTCTCTGAGGAAACTTCTACCTCCTTGGACAAAGCCCGAGGCGTAGCCCTACCGTCAAGTGAGGGTGGGGAGGGGGTGTCAGGAGGATGGGGAGGGTGAGGTGGGTCTGGCGTGAGGTCTGGGGTAAGGTCTGAAGGAAGGTCAGAGGGTGGACCGGAGGGAAGGTTTGAAAGAGCTTGGACCTGGGGAGGCACATCTGGGGGAAGGGCCGCTAGGGCAGTGGAGGACGAGGAATCTGCTTCCGGCAGTGTCTCTGCACGTGGCTGAACGCATTCCTGACATACCGCAATCGACATGTCATGCGGCACAGCCCTTTCTCAGGAGGATGGATCTCCTGGCGCCCTTTCCTCTCTTTCCTTTTGCCGTGCACCCTTTGCTCTTTTGGTGGGGTCGTGCCAGTATGATGGTTCGAATGTGCTTAGAATGGGCAGAAATGATGATCTGTGCAGAAAAAGTTGCTCAAGGAAGACTTTTTCAAAATCGCATCACTTTCAATGGTACTTTCAGCCTAAATTAGGGTAAGGGGTGTGCACCAGGGTAGGCTTAGGGTTACGAAAACTAGTCATGCCAGCATGATAGTGATGGTTGGAATGGGCTTAGAATGGGTAGAAATGATGAGCTGTGCAGATAACACTAATCAGGGAGGGGTTTTCCAGATTCTCATAATTTTCAATATAATTTTCAGCCTATATTAGGGATAGGGGTGCTCACCTGGGTAGGGTTAGGGTTAGGAAAAAGAGTTATCCCAGCAAGTTTTTTATGGTTGGAATCTGTTAGCAATGGGCAGAAATGATGAGCTGTGCAGAAAAAGCTACTCAAGGGTGGCTTCTTCAAAATCGCATTACTTCCCATGGTAATTTCAGCCTATATTAGGGTTAGGGGTGTGCACCAGGGTAGGGTTAGGGTTCGGAAATCGAGATTTCCTGGTACGATTCTGATGGTTGTAACTTTTCCAGTATGTAGAAATGATGAGCTATGCAGAGAAAGCTATTCATGAGTGCTTTTTCAAAGTCTCATAACGTTCAATAGAACTTTCATCCAGCAGTAGGGATATGGGTGTGCTCCAGTGTCGGGTTAGGATTAGGAAAACATCGTAGATCAACATGGTATCGTAGAGCTTAGAATGTGCAGAAATGATGAGCTGTGCAGATAACGCTACTCAGGGAGGGGTTTTTCAAATTCCCATAATTTTCAATGGAACTTCCAGCCCACATTAGGGTTAGGGGTGTGCACCAGTGTAGGGTTAGGGTTAGGAAAACTAGGTTTCCCGGCATGATCATGATGTTTGGAATGTGTTTACAATGGGCTGAAATGATGAGCTTTGCAGAAAAAGCTACTCAAGGATGCCTTTTTCACTGTCTCATTATTTTCAGTCGAACTTCCAGCCCATAATAGGGTTACGGGTGTGCCCCAGTATAGGGTTAGGGTTAGGAAAACGCGTTATCATAGATCGATTTTGTTCTTTTTAATGTGTTTACAATGGGCTGAAATGATGAGCTTTGCAGAAAAAGCTACTGTATGAGGACTTTCTCAAATTCTCATGAGTTTCAATAGAACTTTCAGCCTACATTAGGGTTAGGGTTGTGCACCAGGCTTGGTTTACTGTTAGGAAAATGTGGTATCCCGGCATGATTGTGATGGTTGTAATGAACTCAGAATGGGTAAAAATGATGAGCTGTGCAGTAAAAGCTACTCTAGGAAGGCTTTTTCAAAATCGTATTACTTTCAGTGGTACTTTCAGCCTATATCAGGGTTATGGGTGTGCACCAGGGTAGGGTTAGGGTTAGGAAAACAGGTTATTCCAACTTGATTTTGATCGTTGGAATGTGTTTTCAATGGGCAGAAATGATGAGCTGTGCAGAAAAAACTGCTCAAGTAAGGCCTTTTCAAGTTCGCCCTTTTTCAATGGTCTTTTCCTTGTATATTAAAGTTAGGAGAGTGCACCAGGCTAGGTTTTTGCCAGTGGTAGAGAACCTGTGGCATTGCATACAGAGCCCTTTCTTTCTCTGCGTATGCCAAGTCACCACTGGAGAACCCCAGCCACCAATAATAGCACACATGGGGGCCATGCGCATGCTTGGAAAGTTGTAGCGGTGCCAGGTCATGATGTCGCGAGCCATGACACATTAGTTGCAATTCGTCCAAGCTTTTGCTTGGCCATTCAGTGCACTGTGAGGGGCATATATATGTATTTGCTTTTACTGACTGTAGTTTTTTTTTTTTTTCCTAAACTAAAACCTCAGTTTTCAGGTTTTGTAGTAGTGTTGGCCCTTTGTGATAAATAAGTGGGTTTTGGTTTGCAGTTTGGACACCTGGCCTCTAAAATATTCACCATTACTGGTATATATCAAACTTCTGGGTAGTATCTAGAAATTTGATGTTTCCTTTATTTCGGCATCTATCTGAATTAAAGCCAAAGTCACATTACATATTATTTTTAATAATAACCTTTGTTAAACGTTTTCTTCTTTAGGATTACAATGGAGCCATATGGAAGCTTGATCTGAGTTTTGCAAATGTTGTAAGTCTTTCTTTGCATTTGCTTTTCCCTGTTCCACCACACCCTTCCTCATTTATACCCAATTCTATACTTGATGGCTAAACACAGGCTACTTGTTTACATTTAAAGATATATAAGTCCCATGGTGTAAGAGTTTTAAAAGGTTAAGCATCAGGAGTTATTTGTGATTTTACATGCCTCAGTTGATCTTTTAATCTTTTTAGCAGTTTGAAAAAATTGGGGCAAATACTGCAGGAAGATAGGACAGGGTTAAGTGTACCAAGTTTCAAATTGTTTTATCAAACTAGCACAATATAATAGACCATGGAAAGGTCTGAAAAAAGTGGAATCTATTTAGATGAAAAGTAGTGTACCATGAACTTACTGGGAAATCCAATAATGTATTGTGGCAAGTGTCTGTCTATACACGTAAAAACATATTTGGAAAATTTTTCTTTAGGGGCAAACATGTGTGAGAATTGTTATAAGATTATGTCCAGATGAAAGGCAATGCCAAAATGATTACAGTAGATAAAATGAATAATAAATACTGGAGGAATGAGTCATCCATTGAAAGCTATTTACATATCTGGTAGTTGTATGCCAAGGCAAAAAAAGCTTGGTCTTAGAGTAAGCATATGGTAAAGATAATAAAGTACATAAAGAATTAGTACTTAATTTACTTCTATTGAGAAATACATATACACAGTTACTTTTGGAGGATGGGGATGGATAAGCCTTATTGAATTCAGTAGGGTTTACTTCTGAATAGACATGTAGAGGATTGCACTGTCACTATCTTATATGATAGTAGCAGCAAGAATTTATTACACAAAGTAATAGCAAAAGGTCCAAATGCGAATAATAACAGAATGGGTGATAAAAATGTTTGACTACACAGCAATGGCCACCCTGTACCCATGATAGGATTGTTTGCTCAGATTTGGATGATATGACAATCCATCATAGGGGCAATCCCTACTACAAGCCATGTTACCCATAAGCAAGCCACCTAAGACGAAGCAACCTGTTTCACATGACATGACAACCTATATTGGCTAGTTGCTCATGACAAGTTATGTCATGCAAATCCGGTTACCGACTGTTTGAACAGGTAAGCACGTTCATCAGGAGATCTGTGATTATACTCCCACCGGCTTTTTTCTTCCTTTAAAGCAGCTTTGGGCCTTCCCACTTGAACTGAGGCAGCTGGGTTAATATATTCTTTTCTCTATGACTAAAAGTTACATAGGGTAAAATGCTCTGAAGAATCACAGGCAGAAAAGGTCAACTGATTCCTCTGCTGTATGGTTCTGATCCAAGTCAGACCTTCCTTTGACTGCTTTTAGGAAAAGAAAAAGATGGTGATAGATCTGATGACAGATCTCCCATGTCACTGTAGTATGACCCCGGTATTTTTAAGGTGAATAAAAAATCTGATAAAGATTTCTGCTTCCTTCTTTGAGAGTACAAAGCATTTTGATATAGATCTTTTAGGAATGTTCCTAGTTTTTGCAATAGTACACACATGCCTCATTTCAATCAAATATTTTAATAAAAATTAGGCATCCTAGAGAACGTCTAGCCTACTTCAGGCATCTGATTTTCAATGGGACTTTAATGGTGTAAGACTTTATGTAGCACTACTCACAGCAGCACTGAATCTTATAACTGGAAGGGACACAAAAATCATCTAGTGCATTCTGTTACCCATGCAAGAAGCAACTACTGCAGCAGTCCTGGCAGATGACCATGCAATCTCTGCTTAAAAACTCTAATGAAGGAGAGTCCCCAAAGCTTTTAAAAACAGTTTTATACATGGCCCTCTGAAAAGCTTTGTATGTTTTTCTCTGTAGACCCATGATCCAGAATGCCTCTTTACTTTTCATTCTGGAAAGATAGAAGCTTTATGTGTCTCTCCAGTCACATACCTCATGGCCACCACCGCTCTTGACCGTAAGTGTGTCTTTTTCATTCAGATTCCAGCCCTAGTTCCTCCTTCCACATAGTTTTAAAGGCTAAGATTAGTTATATTCAGGGGTATCATCTATTGTACACTTACAGGAGTATAGTTTATTTGATTTTTTTCAGTGTCTCATGTAAGCAATGTTTTTAGTCACTTTATATATACATTTAGTAGAATTGTGTCTTTTCATGAACTATTTTGTATTCAAATCTTTGTAATTCTGAAATAATCTTTTATGTTTTGCTCTGCACAGTACTCCTTTGAAAATAATTAATGTAAATGTTGCATTTATTTATCTTTGAGAAAAATATTCCTGTTTCAGATGATAATGCCAGTATGTTTGAAAAGAGAATATTGCTAAGTAAGCTTCAGATGATCTTTAGGAAACTAATAATAATTTCTATAGCAGTTCTAATGGGCAAGCAGTTTGGCAGCCTTGTCTTCATAACAATCTTGTGTGGTTGAATATTGTAACTCTTACTTTGCTTCTGGGAAATTTGTCTGAGAGATAATGTACGAGATTGAAAAGGTCCCTTCCATTAAAAGGAGAAATCTTCTTTCCAGTGGAAGGGCTCCATTGAAATTATAGGAGGAAGCAGACCTTTGGATCCCATCTAGTATTTTTCTGGAAAGACACACAGTTGATTTAGAGATAAATTTAGATATTTACCCATGTTTCCCAAGGCCAGCACTCTGTAGCTGCCTGACTCTCTGCATCAAACTGTTTCTTTCTGGAAGGTATTTTAAAAAGCTCCAAAGCTACAAAATAATCTGTTCTTGGGAAAATTTTGTTTGCTTGTGGGGACTGGGAGGGAAGAAATATGTTTAAGTTTTTTTCTGCTGTAGCAAAATGTGTTTTTTAGAAAGCAGTGGAGATATGTCTTTCCTCTTCCTGATCACCTGTTAATTGTCTTAATACAGGTACAGTGCGTGTCTATGATTTCATTGGAAATGTGCAGTTGGCTGAGATGAAGTTAAAACAGGGAGGAACAGCACTGACCTGGGCACCAAAAGTGGTAAATAAGGGGAAGTACATGGATGGAGCCTAGCTGGTGTAATATATAAATGGCTAATTGTAGTGTCTGTCTGGGACGATAGAGCATAGCAATTCAGGAACCGTTTGCCTGATTTCTTCTCCATTTCTGTTTGTTTAGCTTCATACACACTGCCTCCACTTTCCCTCCTACACCTTCTTAGAGATACACCTTCCTTAGTGTTCAGGTACAGCAGCATTAGAGTGGACTGGATAAATCTGCATACTTTCAAATAAGTGAGGTTATGTTTTGAAGAAGAAAGGCATAATTTCTGATGACTTCCTGCTCTATATGCAGGTATTTTAATTCTTCTATGTTAAACAACAAAACTTTCCTCACTTGTTTGTCTAAAGAGATTCAAATGTTTCTAGTTGGGCCATCCAGTATGGAGGAAGCATCAACCTCAGCATGACCCTTCAGACGTTGCTGAACTTCAGCTCTCATCAACCTTCTCTTAGTATGGCCAATGATTCAGAGATCATGGAAACTGTAGTAAGAAAAAAAATCTGGAGGGCCACAACTGGCCCACCCCTACCTAGAGGAAGATATTATGCTATCTGTGGGTGGGATGATTGTTCATGATTTTGCCTTTTGTATTTGGTATGTTGAAAGCACTGAGCCAGTATTGCCAGGATTTGAGGAAGGTTAGTCTAAGGTTTTAAATGTGGTTTTGATTTTGTTGGTACCTATATTTGTAATTTGGGGGAAATGCTTTTGTGTTTCATGGATTTTGTTTTTGTTTCCTGTCCCAACATTTCTGGTTTAGTTAGGATTACGATGTATTTTGGGACTGACATTTAATCCACAATGTATGTGAATTATTCTCAATATATGCAAACAATGTCAACTTTTCTTGGACTTCTAGAATAAGTTATAGAACAGGGTTTAATTTAGTTTGTTATTCTCTCTACTAAAGGTGAATCCTAAAGGAGGTGTAATTGCTGCAGGTTTTCAAGATGGCGTGGTTCGCATTATTGAACTTTATAATCCAAAGGGTCTCCCTGTTGTTGCTGGACGGGAGACAGTAGCGGATGCAGCCTTGCGTCTGAAACAAGCTTTCAAGCCTCATACCAATGTAGTTACAGCATTGGCCTACGAGCGTGATGGGGAGATGCTTGCCACAGGGGTATGGTTTGACTTTTTAGATGAATGCTTGTGAATAGATAGCTTATATAACGCAGCCCTGGGGTGCCTTTGAATGCAGTCAAAATTAATTCAGAGTTGGTCTGACATTCCAGAGTTTAGCCTGAACTGCATTGTTTGAGACAGATGGGCAAAACCTCTGTGTGCCTCTGGAGTTTGCTGGTAGTGCTAGCTGCTGCTGCTGAAGTTATAGTTAGGCTATAAAGTTTCATTCAATATATTTTTCAAAGATAGTAGAGATGTGCAACTTTGTATATCATTTGTTGTAATTGGCTGGCATGGCTACTCACGAGGAATGTATATATGAGTTTGGAAATTTCTTGATTTTATTTCTTTTTCAGAGTAGAGATAAAACTGTTTTCTTCTTTACCATTGATGACAAATATGAACCAGTTGGGTTCATTAGTGTTCCAGGACCTGTGCAGGCATTGCAGTGGTCTCCTCCTTCTCATGTGAGTGGCTCCATGCATGTAGTACATTCATCTCATGCTTTTTGACGTTATTATTACTACAATTATATCCCACCCTCCCTTCTTTTTTTAAAATAGTTGCCCATGAACCATGGTCTGTTTTTATCTTTCATCATCAAAACTCAGTGCTGTGCACAGGCCTGATGCTTTCATCTTATGTTTTGACTTGCAGCCACAGAGCACACTACTTATTTTCTGTGAGAATGGCATTGTTGTCCAGGTTCCGGCTCCAAATCCCGGGGATTATGAAGCAACATCTACTTATAAAATCAAAGACCTTCCTGCTGAATACTTTCGTTTCTGGAGCATAAAATCTCACATTTTGGTAAAGCATTGCAATATAAGTTAGGAAATGAATTTCATAGTACCTAAATATAACTGAACTACACAGTGCTGAACTGACTGGCTCAGCTTTCCCCAATCTGATGAAATCTGGATGTGCTGGACTGTAACTCCATCATGCCCAGCTAGTATGGTCTGATGGCTGGATGTGAAACTCCAGCTAAGTCATATATAAAAGTTGTGGCTCCTCATAATATAGTCACAGTTTTGCTTTCTTTGATACGGGTTGTTTGTTATAAATTCTCAGAGATTAAGAAGACAGATGGCATAAAACATAATAATGGTATTGTATGGAGTGGTTTAATGGGCAGAATCCAGTGCAATGTTTAGACTGCTGCTGGGTCTTAAAACATATCAATTCCATTGTACAAATCACCTCCAGCACTTGCCAAACAGAAATTTAGTGCTTTTGGAGTAACCCAAACAGAAGCACTTGATTTTGGAAGGAAGCGGTTCAGCAGAGCTGCTTTATGGGATCTCCAACAACCTGCATCCTTCCAGAAAAAAGCATTTCTGAGGAAATGCGAAATCTTTTTTGCATAAGCAGTGGGTTCTGCTTACATAATGGAATAGTCAGGGACCACTGCCTGGGGAAGGTAAAGCATGGGTGTTGGGGTAGGGTGAGTGCTCCACTGGGTTCTATAGTATTTACCCTGTTGAGAACCCAAAGATGACCTTCCACATGCAGATATCATCTCCCACTCACAGAAGGGTTGTTTTATATATTGTAATCTAAATTAAAACCAAACTTGTTTGTACCACTTCTCCCATAAGTGGATACACAAGAACTACTATAGAACCTATTATAAAGCTGTATTAATTATTACATGAACATTTGTTCAGGTATGTGCTGAACAGCACTAGGCTTTTATTTTCTTTTTTGCTCACAGTTCTTTTGGATCCAACGCATTATATGCATTGTTTCTCAAAATGGTGTATATGGGATAGTCAAAAACCCTATAGCACAACATAACTTTTTACATTATTGTTCAGTATTTTTACATAAAATACTATTTTATCCAGTGCATTTTTTCTCTTCTTCAAATGATTGAGCAAATGTATGTATCTAAGCCAATGAATTCTCCTCCAATGCATAAAATAAATTTTATGTTGGCCATACTGATTTCCATAAAACACCTACCCCTCAACTTTGCTGCTTTTCATTGGGGTAGCATGAGGCATTTTTACACAGCTTCACACTTACATGAATTCATGCTGAAGGTTTGCACTATTGTACAATGCACAACCAAAAAAACAACAAAAACATGATTTGGTGAGATGGTTTTTCCCATAGAAAATGAATCAAGATGTTCAAATGAAAGGCAAGGAAATATTTGTCAAATACAGGACTGTATTTTTGTCTTCCTGTCCTGGTTGTGGGTTTTCCCAGATGCTCCTGGTTGGTCACTGTAGCAAACCTTTGGTCTGATTCAGCAGGCCTTTCTTACGTTCTTATTTTACTATTCCAATAAAGAGAGAACAGGAAATTAAACGAAGAGAAGAAGTGAAAATAGAAAAGGAGAAGGCAAAGCAGAAGTTCATAAAAGAGCAAATGGATCAAGGCAAAGAGCTAGAAGAAATTGAATTTCCAGAAGAACAACTTCAGGAAGAGGAACCGCTGCCAGACATCTATATCCCACAGACTCCAAGTCCCATCCTCTGTGGGTTTTATTCTGCACCAGGGAAATTTTGGCTATCTTTGGTAAACCTGTTTTATATCTGTTTTGATACAAGGCTACACATTTCAATCCAGTCCATCTCAAAGATTTCTCCTCTCATGGGTGTGGTTTAAATGACTGTGAAGGTGGCCCTTTAAGTCTCATTCTTTCTTCTCTCAATTTAATTCCAGCTTGATGAGAGTCAGAAGTTGGAACAGAGGGGATAAAACAGTCTCTTTGCACTGTAGTACTGGCATCACTTTCATTGTCTTGTTGACAACCTCAGATATGAGATTAAAATTTAAATGAAAAGATGTCCATTCTGAATGTGTTCCAAACAGATAAGCCATTTCCTCAGAAAAGGCAAACTTTTGGCTGCTGCATCTGTATATGTTACTGGTTCTGCCCTCCATTGATTTGCAGCTTTGCTAGATGAGCTGGCCTTCCAAAGACAGTGTGCCCTGTCTCACAGCCTGAATTATTGAAATGCATTTCTAAATTATATGGTATGAAATGTCAGTTGTGATGAATCCAGCTTTATGGAAAGGAGAAGATTTAGGCTGTAATTTTTATATGTAATAGGTTTTTGAGGGCAGTGGGAGGGAAAAGGGAATAACTTGTAAAACATTTAAGTATTTTCACAAAGTTACTCTTCTTAATAACCCTTCATGATGTAATCTGTCTGTTTTTCAGGGCGAATATGACACTGGATTCTTGTACCACTGTGCATTTTCTCCTATACAGCACCAAAAAGATCCTGAGGCTAGGCAAGATGAGCCCTTTGATGTTATTCCTATAGAAGATGCAGATGACAATCCCATTAGACAGATCTGGTTTTGGTAATATGACATTTGCAGTATGTCAAAGCTGAGTGTTTTAGAAATGTGTGGAATCCTTGTGTTTTGTGATGCACAGGTCTATACAAGAAACAAAAAGTGAATTTTTGCAAGAACCAACCAGCTGATATTGTAGCTGGTTGCTTAGCATGTAACATCCTTATTTTGAATTGTAGTGATTAGTTAAAACAAACAAAATCCAACAACCTAGTATCACCTCTACATGCAGGTTGCACATCTTGATCAGGGCATATAGAGAGGGCAAAAATTCCATTGTCTCCATTTTATATGTAATGTTCACACATTTGAATCTTAAATTATTTAAATTCCATCCATTAGCAGAGATGGCTCTGAGTTTTAGGGAGCCATAGGCAAGAAGCAAAAGTAAACATAGTGAAGATAGCATGTATATGAGCTCATAAAAGTGGAATCAGATTCTGTCCAACCAAACAGCATGTTAGAGAAGTGGATGGCTCAAGAAATATGCAGGTCACCTGTTTTGTTCCTGTACTATTTAAGTAACATCCCTAAATTTGTAAGAGACATGCATTGCATGCTTAGACTGAAATAACCACTGCATTTCTTAATTCACTATCACCAAAAGCTAGACGATATTAGGCATAGAGCCTTTAGTGTGGCAGACTCCACCTTACAGAGTATCCTCTCAGCCAATATCAAGCATGCTCATTTATTATTTATTTATTTATTTAAAACATTTGTATGCTGCCCAATTGTGCCACAGCACCTCTGGGCGGCCTGTTATTACAAAACAAAGGCCAAATTGCAATTAATTATTAAAATATTTTTTTAAAAAGGAAGGTCTTCACCTGGCACCGAAAAGTAAGGAAGACTCCAGGTAAATCTCCTTGGGAGAGCATTCCAGGTATGGGGAGCAGCACCTCATGCACTGATATTGCTTGGTACTTTTCAGGCTAGCATTTTCTGACTGGTGCATACATTCCAGCCACTGTTATTGATCTGTTTCTTCTACTATAGCGTTTATACATATTATACATATATTATACATTAGGGTATCTCTCAATGTAGAGTGGTTTATATATTGGATAATAGTTAATATATTATTATTCTGCATCAGCCTGTATAACCTTCTGCACTATTCCTAGTCTAAACAGGTTTAGATGCCAATTTTATAGGGTATTCTGGAGAAAATATTTCAGTTGCTTTAATTTTGTCTGCATTTACAGCTCCAGTGGTTTACTGATGTTCTGTGGGATGGAGAATGGAGCAGTGAGGATTTATCCTCTTCACCACAGTGAATTTTCAATGGACAATATAGCTGGATATTGGTCATTCAGCCTACATGATAATGACTATGGGAAAATTCAAGGGATCTGTACAAGTTTTGATGATCGGTTTCTGGTGACCTGTGGAGCTGATGGCAACATCTTTACTTATAACATCCTTTCTGCTGAGGAGGTTAAAAAAGTGCTCAAGACTAAGGTCCCTTCTCCAAGGGTAAGTAATTGTCAGGAAGACATTATTCTTTAGGCCTCACCCTGTTTTAAAGTGCATATTGACTGGGAACTTCCTAGTTCTTTCTCTTTCCATGTGTACCTTTTTCAGTGAGGAGAGGGATGGGGTCTGATCATTTGAAAGTAACAATTATGCCGTGATTATTAGAAAATAACTATGGTTCCCTGGCACATAGTATTGTGATTATGAAGAGCAGCATAGAGTTCTATCTTAACCTTAGGGACAGTCATACCAGCCATTGATTGATTGATAGTGCCACCAATTGTTTAATTTCATTCTTCTACAGGGAGGCCTTGATAAAGAGAGAGCAGCAAAAGATATTGAGGATCCTAATGCCTATAGGTAAAAGTGCTAAATGTGAGTCTTGTAGCTTTGTCTATGGGTCATCAAGTGGTTTTGCCAGATGATCTCTCTGAAATGGAGCATGCCCTATGCCAGTTTGTCTGTGGGCAAGTCCTGTGGCTATTCTCGCCATCTCTCTCCTTCATTTCCAGGATGGCAACAGGGAATGGGTGGGCAGGTTATATCTGTCAAGATGTCAGATTTGACACACATGCTCCTGGTTGCTAAAGAGAAAGTTCTCTTCATTGTTGCCACCTTCCAAGCCTCCCTTGAATTGACACTTGGAGGAAGGCCCTGGAGGTTGAGCACAGTGTCCAAGTAGATTGTGGCTGGGAGAGGTGCTTGAACAGGTGTTATGTTTCCAAGCTGCATAAGTCTTCATAGGTTAAAATCAGCACCTTGCACTGGGGCCTAGAAGCCTACAGACAGCCAATGCAAGCAGGCTGATATGGGTCCTACTTACTAGTCTGGCTGCTGCATTTTTCACAACCTGCAGTTTCTGATTAGTCTTCAAGGGCTGTCCCACCTAGAGTGCATTGCAGTAATCTAATTTAGAGATTACCAGAGGATAGATTATTGAAATGACAGTATCTGTATACAGATGGGGGCATAGCTGGGCCACCAGCCAAAGCTGGTAGAAGGCACTCTGAGCCACTAAAGCTACCTTAGCCTTGAGTGACAATGAAGGATCAAGGACAATTCCAAGCTCCTGCCCAGGGAACCTTATGGCTAATGGGGCAGGCTAAAATCTAATAATGAACCTGCTCCTTCAAGAGGAGTGTAGCTCCATCTAGAATAGATTAAACACCTTCCATCTGCTCAAAGGAACCACACACCAACAGTATGTCTGGATTGAGTTTTAGTTTATTAATCCTCATCCAGTCTATGGGCACAGCCAGACACTGGTTTAGCACATCCACAGCTTCACCTACTTGAAGATGAAAAAAAGAAAAAGAGCTGCATATCATCAGCATACTGATGTCAACACAGTCCAAAACTCCAGATGATCCCACTAACAGTTTCATGTAAGTGTTAAATAGCATGGGGGACAGAACAGACCCCTGAGGAACTCCATGTCGGAGAATCTATGGGGATGAACAATATTTCCCAAACACAACCTTCTTGAGCTGGTCCCCAAAGTAGAAGTTGAACAACAGTAGGAGGTGACCATGTTATAATGATCACCTTCTGCCTTCTCTTTATATTTTTCATGCATTTATAGTATTGAGAATGCCAAACAAAAAAAGGAATATGATGAGATAATGAGAGCAGCAGAACTTAAGAAGTACATGAAGAGACAAGAACTGATCACTCTACAGCAAGAGTTTCAGAATCTGCTCCAAATGAACAGTGATCTGCCCAAACACATGCAGCTTAACAGGGCAGTATGTATGCGTTAATTTTTTAAAAAACTTGGAATTCATGACTTGAATACCCTGAGTTTTACAATGGGTCAATATATTATTATTTGTGTATAAAGGAAAATATACATTACAAAATTGGTCAAAGTCTCACGGACACTCCCTGCTGAGAGAAACTAAACCCTATAGCGCTACATAAGCAATTTCTCACTCCTCTGGGAAATACAGAAGAATACTGCCATGAGATTGTTGCTTGAGTCACTATTGGCTTGTTTGCTGTGAAGCAAGCAGTCTTCCTCAGCATGAGTCTCTCACATGTTTGAAGCACAGCTCTCATCATCTCAGTCATTGGCCATGTTACCTGGGACTGGTTGGAGCTGTAGTTCAAAATGTCTGAAGGGATCCACATTGGAGAAGGCTTCTCTAAACTAAGCCTGATCACAAGAGAGTCTTGTAGCTTTGAGAGCCAGTATGGTAGAAACTCAGGTTCTAGTATCTGTTCTGCCATAAAACTTATTGCATGTTTTTATGCCAGTCGCTGTCTCTCAGGCTAACCTATCACACAGGATTGTTGTGAAAATAAGAGAGAAGTATCATGTACACTGCCTTGGATTGTTTGGAAGAAAGGTGGGATATGAATGTAGCAAATTAATCAATGAATCAAATTATATACTACTATGGGTTTAGAGTGGTCATGGGAATGTCTTTTCATGGGAGTTAATTGTTACAAGATGGCTTCCTAATATAAAGATCCAGGGGGCAGGGACTGATCCAAAGTGTAAGTGTGTGTGTGTGTGTGTCTGAGAGAGAGAGAAAGAGAGAGAATGTGAGTGAATAAGTGAGTGAAGCAATAGCAGTTTGAGATGGAGGGAGAATAAGTACAGCACAGAGGAAGCTGTGAGCAAAATGGCTGAAGTGCAGGGTTCTTCTCTTTGGAGATCTAATGCGTGTGGTAGAAATGCTCCCGGGTAGGAGGGCATGTCCTGCTTCTCTCTCCCTTTTTTATATTTGTAAATAAGCCAAATGTTGCACAAATATGACGAGTCCTTGGTGCTCTTCTCCAGAAGACACCAGACCCATACAGTGTTCCCCTTCAAACTTTTCTCATTGTTCCAAGAAGTGCTAAGCAACCAAATATGATGTTACTGTCCCAATTATGCAGCAATTTGAGTTAGACTACAGAATTCGTGCAGGAATGGACAGAAAAACAGCAAACAAGATCCGTTTTGTGATGAAGGAATTGGCATGGGAACAGGAAAAACATCGCATTGGGCTGAAAAAAGTACAGGAACGGTTAGTGCCATTTTTCCTTAGTTCTGTTATTTTCTGGGAGAGATTTTTGATTTCCTATGGTTTTGCAGGAAAGAAAAGGGGGGAAAGCTGGAATGCTTTCTCTGCCATGTATGAGAGTAATAACAAAGAAACTTTGTTTCTTTTTATATTGCTCTCATTTTGGTCCAAGGTGAACAAGCCTAAATATATGTGAGTGCTTGTTGCATGGAATTTATCTACCTTTTTAACAACTAGTACCCAGAGACTAGTTGTTGGAATTGCAAGTGTTTTTTTCCAAAATGCCAGTTGTACTTTTTATTATTCTCAATCAAGGTAGAAGGCTGTCTTGATCTAGTATGAGGGGAAGATGGGGCAGAGTTTCAGATCTGATCCCTACCTAAACTTACTCTGTCCCAACCACAGATACTCTAAGTGTCAGCCTTCTGTTTGGCGGATGAGTAGAAAGAGTTCCTCCTGTGTAACTCTGATGTGCACACTCTTACTACCAAGTGCAAAAAATAAAAGTGGAGTGAAGGGATATTATTATAGCAGGACCCCTCCCCTCCCGCTAGCCCATGTTGCCATTAACACTGTTGACCAACTCCAGACTTACTCAGCCTTAGAACCTAGCCACAGAAGTGAACAAAGGGGCCTGACGGTCCCAGCACTGATACCAGCCAAGAAGTTAGTGTTGCACATCTGTTGGAGATCCTGAAAAAGATGTGGGTTCAGTGGTAGTGAATAGAGGTTGAGTAGGAGCTCATGGTGGTCATGCCCAGCTTTACTAGGGGTTGATTCAAAGAGCAGGAACCAAACATTAACATCCTCCATGGAATGTTTGCTGAAGTCCTGCTCGTGGCCCCCAAACTCACCTTTATGGCCTGCCTCACAACTAGTGGAATGATATTTTTTGGAAGTGGGGGGGCAGGATATCATTCCAGAGAGAAAGTGTTCCTCATCCTCTTTTGATCTTTTGACTGGATTTCTTTTATGATTCTTTCCTTGCAGATTGTATTTATTTTTATATATATATATATATATATATATATATATATATATAATTAAAATTTTTAAACTAATACTAAAAAAAACCCAAACATCAAACATCACAAACATTGGATTCACTGGGTCAACCTCCTTTTTAACATTCTAATATCAAATTCAAATTAATTTATCATAGTTTAAAAAACATCTCTAAATTTACACCAAGTCCTGTTTCTCCAGCCAATTGTAAAAAGAGTCCCAAGTTCGATAGAAATCAGTATCCTCTTTCTCCTTCAACGATAAAGTCAGTCTATCCATTTCTGCACAGTCCAAGATCTTTCTTACAATCAATCCATCGGTGGGCAGCTCCTCACTTTTCCAATATTGAGCAAATGCAATCCTCGCCGCTGTAATTAGATGCAACATCAAATAGATTTCCTGTCTGTTAACATCTTCCAGTATAATGCCTAACAAGAAAACTTCAGGTTTAAAAGCAAAGGGTTTTTGTAATATTTCCTCCATCCATCTATGTATTTTAATCCAGTACTTTTTTGCGTTATCACAAGTCCACCACATATGATAAAAAGTACCCACTTTATGTTTACATTTCCAACATCTATTTGAAATATTTGGAAACATCTTAGCTGGTTGACTTGGTGAAAAATACCATCTATAGAACATTTTATATAAGTTTTCTTTATACGAAGTTGCTAATGTTACTTTAATGTTTCTTTCCCATAGTTTTTGCCACTTTTCTAGTTCAACATTAAATCCAAAGTTTTGTGCCCATGTTATCATAGTTTCCTTAACCTGTTCCCCTTCCATTTTCCTGTCAAGTAAAAAACATATAGTCTTTTAATAATTTTCTCATCTGTTTTAAGCATCACTTGATCAAATTCTGTTAGGTCTGTATAGAACCCCCATGTTTTACGATCTTGGCATATCTTGATTGCATCTGTACCTTATACAACCAGGAAATATTAAGTCCCTGTTCTTGTATTTCTTGCTCCAGTTTCAGGCCACCATCCTTATCCAGGATATCGCCATATCTTATGATCTTTTCAAAGTTCAATATATTTGGATATACAAAAGCTTCCATAGGTTAAAGCCATCTTGGTAATTTATTATACAGTTTTAGCTTTAGTTTTTCCCACACTGACATTAAAGATCTTCAGATTATATTTTTATAGTGCTTATGATACTATTTTTTTCTTACAAGTCAAGTCTTTCCTCAGTCTAAGGGGAACAATTCAGTAGCTATGGGGGTAGAACAATGCAGTATTGCACACTCTTGGCAGCTGTGTCCCAAGATAATAGGAGTTAGTGGTTGTGAGATGTGGGGGGTGGCAGTGGGGTGAAAGCAGGACCACATTGCACAAGACTGAATAAAGTATCAGCCACAGCAAGGTCGAGGAGCATTCCTTGGGTGCTGCTTCTTCCATAAAGGAGATCTCTATTCCCTCCGTTCCGAAGCTGTTGTCTCTTCATCCTGCAAGCCACTTGAGGAACAGCATGGTGCCCTTAAAAAGTAATTGATATCTTTGATTCGCTTCCACAGTTTCCGGGGCAATTTGGAGTACGATACAATTGTGGTCTGTGCTATGAAGAGCAACCACCGAATTTCCACATACAGACTGTTGGCAATCTCAGAAAGCCTCTACAAACTCAAGAGGCAAAGTCAAGCAGGACAAAGAAGAACGAGCAAATATGAAAGGAAAGGAAAAGAAGGAGAGCTAAAAAGAGAGAGCCAAAGAGATCTCAGTAAGAATTTGAAAATGGTCTAAGTGCTGCAACAATTGACAATTTTGCATTATTTTTATGGTTCTATATCTGTTGAAGTAATTGGTGCGTTTGTATGTGTATGTCTGTAATATTTGGTAATATAATGGAATACTATCTATTAGCAAGTATTTTACAGGCTTTTAATTAATATGAATTGAATTTTCTGTTCTACGGAAAGATTTTTAGTTCTACTAGTCAGGGAAAAATTTCATTTTCAGCTTGTCTAAAATGGAATGTAAGAGTTTTGGTAGCCTGTAAGAATTTTGAAAGTGACAATTTTCCCACTTGAGGGAGAGGGTACAGATGTGTGGATATTTGTCTATGAACATGTGCATGCACACCTTGAAAAACAGTACTTTTTGATGTAGAGACATACCGAAGAGAGGCAAAAAGCCATCCCAGGAAGCATCTTGGGATGCAGGTGCCTCTCTTTGGAGATCTGATTTTGGTTAGTAGATCTGCTAACTTGACAGGATTGTGCTGTCTTGTGTTGCTTGCCCTCACTTATGCACAACTTGAACATTACAACCTTCCATCCCTGCAGAAATGCCTTCTGTTCTCCAAGTCTCTCTAAAGGAAGCCAAATCAAGCCCCTAGTCTCTAACAGTCCTTCAAGAAAATAGCTTCAGTTGGTTTCACCAGTCCAAATAATACTACATCCTCACCGCTTCCATGAGTGGCAAGTGCAATCCAAGTGGGATGCCCATAAGCAGCGCAGAGGATTGCAGACATCCTATGCAGGGCAGAGGAAGCAGAGGAGGTGATCTCCGCCTCCCCACAGTGCAAATCAGCAAGACAGCTGGTTTTAGTAGTCTAGCTGTGGGCAGTTCCAATGGGAAGGGAAACAGGCAGGAGCAATGTCAGGCTATGTTGTGTCCTGCAGCCCCATTCTCCTCTCCCTGCCCCTTTTTATCCCCTCTCCAAGGTTTTTATGCCCTGGGAGAAGCAGCTGGTGCAGTTCTTCCCACACCTGCTAAAAGGGAAGGGGAAGAGGGATCTGGGCACAACTCCCGAGCTCTGAGGGATCTGAAGAATCCTGTATGGCATGCTGAATGCTGTCTGGGGGGCTATAGGCTTGTTCTGCCCATGTTAGAACGAGTGGTGAAAACTCCTACAGTATGGATAATGTGGTCAGGACCATGTAATCTTATTTAGATATATGTATTTCTGCAGAAACCATATTTTCATCACAGACTAGTGCCATTAGTGAAGAAGAAACAGATACAGAGAGAGTGTGGAAAAAGTCCCACTCAAACACACCAGCAAACCGTCTTGTTGAAAATCGAATGGAAAAACTTAGAAAAATTATTGAAAAAGCAGACAAAGCCAAAGCTAAGATTCAGCAAAGAAAGAATGAATGGGATGAATTGTGAGTCCTGAATTATGATTTTAAAAATCCTTTTTGTAGCTTTTTATTGATGATGTTAATGGTAGTTAAACAGATGGTAATCATCTTTGACTCATGTGCCACTATCATGATTTCATAATTTCATAAAGGCATATATAGATAAATAATAAATAAATCTGAAGATCCTGAGGAGCAGGAAGGAGAAAAGTCATATAAAGCCCAGGTGTAATGGGCTTCCCAGCTTTGGACAGAAGTACTTAATCTGATGAAAAAGAAATATTTAGATAATTTGTTCCTTTCTTTATCCCCCACTCTCCCCCAGGATATTTCTTCAGAGTAGCTATAGTTTCTGAGACACTTACTGTGTGTGTTAAAGCAAGTGCAGATATAGCAAGTGTTGACATCTATGTGGAAATATTAGCAATCTCAGACTGGCACTTTAAACCTTCAAAATATTTACGTATTTATTTCTTGTACTGCCCAATGGCCAAGGCTTTTTGGATGGTTAACTTTCATTAAAACTGAACAAACATTAAAAGATGACAACACAAATATGATGCTGATGATCATATTTAGGTGAGGGAAGTCCCAATTTGTGGGAGCACTTAATCCTATGGAGGGCAATAGAAGCTTCACTTGGTAAGTGCCTGGATGGGAGCCCATTGAGAGCCCTGTACAAGATGCTGTGAATTTTCTTGAAAAGGAAAAGCAGGATATAATAGATGCCTAAAGAGAGCAATCTTGTAGTCCCTGAGCAAGACCTTGGAAGCAGGAGCTTGAGATCGGACCTCCTTCAGGGTGGGTAGGGTGGAAACTGAAGAGGCTAGGATATGAGTTACGCTGAGCATCCACCATCCTATATCCCTTCCCCTCTGAAGCACCATTGCTTGATCGGCTAAAAAGCCTAGCTAACAGAATCTGCAAAATGGTAGAATAGGAAGGTAAAGATCACCTCTGCCTCTCATCCTGCCTTGCTTTGGATAATCAGATTCTCCCATGTTCTAATGATTCCAATTGCGGAAGGCACAGTCAATAGGAATAGACCCCTGATGACTGAAGTTTAAATGGATGGCAACATTTCACTAGTGTATTCATATTCACCTCATATTAAGACATTTTCCAGATGAGGTGAAGGTTGTCAACATTTCTATGCTGTTGCTGAATTTCTGACATTCACTCACACAAACTGGATTCTCTGCTGCCATCATCACATTTCATGATGTGATCATGTCTTTGTTGCTTTATATTCCTCTTTTTAAAATGCCCCAGAAGGCTAGAGGTACTTCCTATGAGCTAGTTAAGGCTAGTGATTGGTGCATACTCTGAAGCCGGTTGAGGTGACTGCCTCAGACTGTAGATTTTTATGGCTGGTAAGGGTACCAAAAAGGTGGAAGACTGGTTTGATGTAATGGGATTCATTCTGTTGTGAAGTTCTCCATGCATTGGAATTTTTTGTTCATTCCCATTGTGAAATCAATAAGAGAAGAACTTTCCAGCAGATTATGTCCCATCTGAATTAGTAGGAAGGGGAGTTGCTGTTTGTATTCCCCCCCCCCCCCGCCCTCTTGAGTACCAAAATGTCTTCATCTGCCTCCAGAGAGGGAGCTGGGCAGTAAAAGTGCTTGTTTTTCCCACTGACGGAAACTGTACACTGATACTGTCTATTGGACCAATGGGTGATACTTTTTGTTGATGTTTGGCAGATTCAAGAGCAAACCAAGTGATAACTATGAGGACCCCCAGGATGTAGAGAATATAAAACACGCCCAAGAGAACATGGGGGACTACAAATTGAAAACTGCTACTAACTACAAAATTCCTGAACACATGAGAATAAATGCTGACAAGAAAATGAATCAACTGGTATCTCTAGAAATGGCTGTGAGTATAAATGGATGCTTTGGATCATGCTGTTTCATTTCCTCTTAGACATGCATAGCAGAGGGAGAACAAACTATTATTTATTTAAAATATCTCGGTCGCCTTTCAGGGCAGAGGTATTTCCAAGGTGGCTTACATTAGTGAAATCCATATAATAAAAATCTAAAACATAATAGAGCCCACTACTAGTAGTAAGACAACAATATTAATAAAGTAACTAATACCAGCAATAAAACATCATTAAAAGCCTCCAACATAACTGAAACTACACAGCAGAAATCAAACTTGATCAGGGAAAGCCAGAGCAAACAAGCAGGTCTTCAGGGCCTTCCTGAAATTTTGCAGTGATGGGCCTGATAGATCTCCAATGGTGACTTTATGCAGAGGTGCAAAGGCCCCTAAAGAGAAGGCCTTTTTTCATTTATGTCCACCTAACCTTAAAGGTCATGTATGAGAGAGGCTGTCTTGCTGATTTTAAAGTGAAGGCAGGCTGGCAGATTGATAACTTGATCCCATACCATTTAAGGCTTTAATTTGGAGGGCTGAGGTGATTGTCCAACCCCTCTGCCTCTGGCTGGAGTCATTGCCAATTCTATTTCATAGTTTGCTTTATACTAAGACTTAACTGGGATCTATTTGAGCACAGCATCAAATTTGTGAAATGCTTGATTTACAGACATTGTACTTTTCTTGCCAAGTATTCACTTTACCATTCAAAGATTCTTAATTATATTTATGATTTACTAGTTATTAGGTAAATAACTTCAGACATCCCGAATATCTCATGTGTAGGATGTGATGCTGACACTCATCCTTTCTGTGGCAGGCCTTAGCAAAGGGGAAAAGACAGCAACAGTTATTTTATTTATGCAGTATTTTAACTATCCAGGTTTAGGTACTCTTATTTTGGAAAACCGCTGACTTTTAAGTTTAGCTGTTGGAAGTTAAATTTCTCAAGTCAAAGTAACATCCTCTTTTCAGATCCATGAGAAGAAATTAACTATGAACAAATGGATAGTGTCCCTCCGAGACCTCAAAGTGGCTATTATTGAAGAGATCCAGTGTGTGGTGCAAGAACTCAGAACTATACAGTCATCCCTGCATCCTTCCAAACAGGTCCCTGTTCCTCCAATTCCCCAACTTCTCCCTGAGGAGACGCCAGAAAAATATTTCCAGTATGACTGTGAAGTACTTTTGAAGTTCAAGCAGGAACTAGAAGACCGGGTTAAGTTGAAAGAGACCGTGTCAGGGATTCCTTCAGCAGAGGCTGGAAACTTAGGGGGATTTGGAGGAGGGTTTCTTCATACTGCTTCAGTAAAGGAGCTAGATATCACACGGGCCATCAGTTTGAAATCCATGAAAATGTCATCTGGAGTTGCAGCATCAACCCCCAAATCATTTGAGATTGACCGAGGAGAGACAACAGAACTGGAGCTAGAAATCAAAAGGCGGGAGGAGATCAGGAGCATTTACATGCAGGGGACCTTGATCAAGAGGGTAAGAATAGAATATAAAGCATCTCAAAGGTGGTTGTACCTAATCTGGTAGCTAGCAAAAGCCGCTCCTTACATCTTGGGCACTTTGATGTTTAAAGCGGTTTATTTCTGTAAATGAGAATCTGGGAAACAGGAATTGTTTTCATGTTTTGCTCTTGTTTAGCCTTTGCTTGTTATTTTTGTGTCTTTGACATCCAGTTTCTAAGAGAAAGCTAAGTCACAGCAATGAGTGTGAAGAAAGCTGAGGATGCTCTTTTTCAAATTTCCATTAAATCGCCTATGCCAATGCTCTGAGTGAGTCCTAGTGAATTTAAAATATTAGCCCAGCCACAAGTCACAATACAGTCATTTGAAGTAGGAGAAAAAAGCCTTTTCAGCTGTATTGCAGTCCCTGGAAAATGCCAGATTGAAACAAAATGGCTTCAGGCTGATATTTAACATGACCTTAATAAATACTATTTTTGAACTGTAGTAATGCTATTTGAAACAATGTTGTTGAAAGCTGTACTTTTAAGTAATATTTCTGAGGTTAATTGCTTACTCCTTTTTCCTCATACCATCTCCATCCTACCTGCTCTCCAGATTGATGAACTAATGATTACCTTTGATGCGGAGCTTCACCTTTTACGTCACCAAAAACTGAAGCTGGACATACTAATGAAAACAGCTGACCTGCGCCACATCACTTGGTTTGAAGAACTGCTTCTCCTCAAGAACTTCGAAAAACACGAGAACATTCTCCAGGAACGTGTCAACAGCCTTGCCAGTGAGGAGGAGGAAATGCAAGTATGCATTACATATACAAGTCCCTGCATATAGTAAAAGTTTAGAAATCCAGAGTGCAGGGAAGGGTGGTCTTCCCCTGCAGCTAATCTAAATATGGCCAGGACAGATTAATGTGTTGTTCATGGGACCTACTCCACTCACCTCTGAAGCAGGCAGGAGATAGGGGAAGTCACACTTTTAACCAAAATTTGTGCCTCGTCGAGGAGACCTGGACCCTCCCTCTCCTTGCCTCCCTATGCAGTATTGCAGCTGGCACAATTCTCCCAGGCCGGTTCTCATGTTGGACATGGGCTGAGAATCCTCTCCATGTTTTGCAGAGAAGTACTTCAAATGATAGAGCATTGCAAAGTAAGGGCAAGAGTAGGGAAAGCTCCTGCTCCCCTCACCTACAGGTACATTTTTGGTGTAAAAAGTAGGCTGCCCAGCATTATTTTAGATGTGCAGGAGGCAGGATATAATGAGAGTAATGCCTGATAAGTCCAAGAGTCCATCTTGCTCAGACTACCAGCTCCCCAAAGAAAGCTCTGAAGCAGAGCATGAGTACATCAGAACTTTCCAGCCCAAATTCCCCAAGAACTAGTATACGTGGGCAAACTGCTTCAGTTCATGGAGGTAACATATAGCCATCAGGACTCATAGCCATTGATAGCCTCCTCTATGAATTTGTCCAATCCCCTTTTAAAACTGTCCAGAGTGATCATCATCATTACATCTTGAGGAAAAGGCTGTTATGTAAATGAACAAATCATCACAGCTAGTTATCCCCTCCTTTTTGCTCTAACCTCCTTGAAGGGAGTTGTTCTAAACATGAAGATCTCAGCATTTGGAAGTCTGTGGCTCAAGGGAAAAGTTGCCCTTCAGCTGACCTTTCACTTGATTTGGGAGGTTTGCACCCATTTGAACAACACACTTGACTTCATTCATTCATGTATCTCCATAGAATTTGTATTTGTTGTCCTGCCTTTGGGTTATCTGTGTGAAAGGATGGCCACTGCTTCCCCTCCTCCATGACGGGGCAAGAATATGCCCAGTATCATTTTCACAAACCAGTGTATTATCCTGGCATCTGGGGCTGCCTTGTTGTACACTTACTAGACAGCGTATCTACTTCAGCTTAGTATGGGTTGCTTCAAAGTAAATTTATGCAAAACTGGCCTGTTTTCTTTTGAACTTACACAGTACTTACAATGAGTATGCTTTTGATCCTGTGGCGGTGGCATGCACTTAAAATTAAGAGTTGGTTTTCAGGTAAAAAAAATACAGCTTTTAACAGTACCATCTATTTTGATAAATGTAAATTAAATTGCAATTAAATAATTTGCCCTGGAACATTTATTTTATGTTACATATTGTGACACTGATAATAACATTTTCATAGTGCCAGTTCTGATAATACTTCAGACATGCATTCTAGCCCTAAGTGGCCCACCTTTGCTCAGAAATGGCACATTTGTGGTCATAATGTGGTCATTTCCCAAATTTTATATAAGGAATCAATGGAATGATTTTGGTCCACTTGCCCAGGGTGGTTCCTTTGTCAGAAGTGTTTCAGATTAGAAATCTGAAATGGGCAACTGGAATGCCCTGGGCTCTTGACTTTTTAGTGGTCTCTGAACTGGAAATCTCATGGCCTGAGTACTGCTAATGTTGTTCCTTCTGGATGAATGATATTTTCTTTTATGCTATTTCAGTTTTTGCATCTATCATACCTTAATACAGATGTAAAGGCTATATTGCCTTTTGCATATATTTGGCTTAAAGAAGAGGTCTTTCTTCCATTTTTTGTCTTGCATTAATATCAACTTGTATGTACCATCAATGTAAGCTTTAAAAAAAACTGTATTTGTATAAGAAAGAATTGGAAGAACATTTAATAAAAGCTTTTACCAATACCTTGTTTTTACAGCTCAGATTAAATAGCTATCTTGCACAAATAGAGGATAAGAAAGCAGAAATTGCAAAGCTCCAGGAACGAGAGAAGAATCTCTATGCTACTTTCCAAGCATCATTGGGAGAAAATAACAAATTTGCTACATTCCTCACTAAAGTCCTTAAGAAGAGGATCAAGCGTGTTAAGAAGAAAGAGGTGGAACAGGAAGGAGGTTTGAAGCACTGTTTCAGTGTCATATATGTTGACTTTGTAGAAAACGCCATATTTTACCATTTAAAACATATTTCTGAGTTACAAAGGTTGTTGTAAACCTTTGAGGAATGAATGTACATCTGTTCTTATCTCCAGCCCTAATCTACTGCCCAGTTTGAATAGTGGGTTCTCATAGAACAGCATGACCTGGGCCATGTTGGCTCAGCAATTTGCTTTGTGTGGCCTGGTCAATGTCTAGGTCAGGATATTAAACACTTTGTAAAATTCAGTGATTTTAATGGATGGTGCTTTAGAATGACTGCACTAGGTTTTGCATATTTCTCATGATGGAGGAGCCTACTCTGCAACTCATATCAAATGAGCAGGAGTTATCTGCATGGTAATGGTACTTTCTTAACCCAGATGATGAAGAAGACAGTGAGGAAGAGAGTGATGAGGAGTCCAGTTTGGAGAGTGATGAGGAAGAGTCAGGATCTGAGGATGAAGTCTTCGATGACAGTGTGTGTCCAAAAAGTAAGTCTTGCTATCTCTTCCTACCCTCACTAGTTTGATCTGCTTTTTCAAGACAGGTTTGTATCAACCTTTGAAAAAAAGGAACTTTGCTTCAGATTGAAGAAGATGTGGGTAATGCATGTGTTGTTGCCATTTGTGACTCTTAGAATGTGCTCTCAGATTGAGAACAGACAACATTGCAGAAGCCCAGTTGTTACAACACAGATTATAGTCCTGCTTGCTGGACATGGAAGAGTGGACATGCTAATATGGTAGATAGTGTTGTTAGTAAATTGAAGGAGTTAATTCTAGACAGGTAGTAAGTTCTGTGTAATATAAAGCCTTGATGTCTTTTCCCATGAGGGCAGAAAAGCCCCTTGGAAGTATTTTAGTCTTTCAGAATTTTAATTTTCAAAGTGTAACTTGTCTTAATAGAAATTATTTGCTGCCATCTAGTGGCTTCAGACAATAATTTCCTGTTATCAGCCTTTTAATGTTGATTCTTAGGGACATAATTGTAAATTTCCCCTGCAAAAGCACGTGACTGATTTTAATTCGTATAAATTTAATTAATTTAGTAAGTTGTTGCTGTGTGGTCAAGACATCTCTTACCTATGGCAATCCTATGCTCTCTCAAACATCCTGTCCTTTATGTAAATTTATGTAAATTTGTAAATAACCCATGGCTTACTTCATGGAGTCAATCCCTCTCTTAGTTGGTCTGCCTCTCCTCCTCCTGCATCTGACTTTCCCTAGTCTGATTGTCTTCTCCAGTGAATCTCGGCTTCTCATAATTTGTACAAAGTATGACAACTTCAGTTTCATCACTTTTGCTTCCAGGGAAAGTTCTGGCTTGATTTGCTCTAGGGGGCCACTTCATCTTTCTTTCACTCAGTGGTATTTGCAAAGCTCTTTTCCAGCACCATGTTTCAAATGTATCCCATAAACAATGAAAGCATTGGAGTGTGTCTGGAATAGTCTTATTTAGAAAGGTTGTGTTTTGTTAGGCAGGTTAAGAATAAGCACATGTGTGCACACATGTACTTCCTTCTTAGCAAGCTGCCTGCGTAAACTGTGGAGGAAAAGTAATGACCTCTTTGAAGTTCTCTGCTTTAACATTGTACTGCTTGAGAATAACAATGTTTGAAGTTGGCTCTGAAAAGAGAGATTCCCCTTGAAATCTGGGCTTTGCATTCTGTTATTTTTGACAATATGCCAAGAGACAGAATCCAGAATCTCCCAAATGCTTTTGCTTTTTTAGCATCCTCTGTCCTTTCTCTTGGAACTTTTATTCCCAGGGCATAGATCCTAAAGTGTACTGTATAATAGAGAAGGTAATTGCTTTCTCATTGTAACATCTGGGATTTATGGAGAGCAATCCAATGCATGTTTACCTGGACATACATTTTGCTTCATTCAGTGAGACTTCCTGTCTAGTAAATATAATAACTAAGACATTTACCTCAGAGTAAGTAATAAGAAAGACATTTACCTCCTTGCACATGGTAGGTAGCTTTGCACATCATGCAGAGCCGCTTTGCAACAAAGGCACCACAGGTTAGTTGGTTGCTGAAGAACCTGTAGTACTCCGAACTGATGATTGGGCTTGCCATGGTTTGTTCTCCCCTTCAGTCCCCCCACAGTCCTTTCACTGGCTCTATGATGCAACCCAGTCACCTCTGCATTATAACCCATCTGTCCCTTGTCCCAGTGCCTTCCCAAATCCAGTTGCTTCCCCTTTTTGGAGCACTTCCTTCATTCACCACCTTAAAAATGTGCTTTGAGGGTCTGTAAATGGGATGGAGGGGATGTTTGCCCTCTATTTTGCAAGAGCACAGATTTGGCTGCCTGATGTGTGTATTGTTGCCTAGTCAACTTCCTTGCATTTTTCAGCCATCAGCAAGCACCAAAATGGAAGGGACAATATCTTGTGCTTGGCAATGTAATCCTGGCAAGTGTCCATTCAGCTCTTCATAGTGAGAGGATTACCTTGCCAAAAGGAGATGTCTTTGCCATCCTGCCTTGGGACTCTTACTTAATTTGAATTTGCATTTTTAAAAGCTTTCTTGGTGCTTGTTGACAGCAGAAACATAGAAGGAAATAGACCAGGCATATTGGGAACTTGAATCTGTGCTTGTGCACACTTGCAAAACATTTTGGGGAACCTTCCCAACATTGTTTGCATACTCCTGAAACACTGCATTCTTTTTAGTAAAAGGAGATGATCAAGTGACAGTTCCTCCAAACTGCCATGTGGGTATCACTGGAGGAGCAGTCACTGGCAAAGGAGGATGGAGACAGTGCAAGTGAGATTGCAGGGAGTGGCAGAGGCTTTTGGCACTTTGGCTGGGCAGCCTGGTATCCCATTATAAAATCATTCTGCTGGACTCAGATGATGCTACACCGTGGCATTGAATAACCTTAAAACAAGCCATGGGTTTTCAGCATATGTTGTTTGTGAAAAGCAAGCTACCCTACAGGAAACATACTCTATTCAGATGATGGTTCATCCCCACCATGCTTACTACTTAGTCACGATGAGTTATCATTTTGTGAAAACCAGGTAAACAGGCCTTGCTTGGCTAGGATTATACTGTTAAGTTCTCAGATTTGTAGCTTGCTGTCTTAAAATAACTTGAGACCAAGACAAGCTAAAATTGTGGCAGTCTCTTAATCTGAATTCTTCTTTTCAGACTGTGATGAGTCACTGTTTGAAAGCACACTCCAGCTCCGAGAGAAACGACTGGACATCGAAGAGGCTTTAGTTGAGGAGAAAAAGGCTATTGAAAATATCAAGAAAGAGTATGAAGCTTTGGCCAAGAAGGTACAGGGCCTTCTCCAACTCAGGCAGGACCCAGTAGTCTGTCTTAAGCCAACAGTGCTTTTTTAACTGCTGGTTGTACTGTTCTACTGAGGTTTGTTTTGGAATGTGAAAGTCCTGGCATCTGGTACAATTTGAGTAGTGATTCTAAAGTCCTGGATGAATTCTGTTTTGGAGCTCATTCATTTTTTTATTTATTGCAGTTTGATAAAGTAATCTGAGCTCCCTTGAGATAGATGGGCTCACATTTGATGAGTATATAGTGGATTATTTGATGTGTAAACTATATGTAAATGTTATGATGTACTATATTTTTAGACAATGTCGTAAAGCCGTAAGTGATTGGCTACATGTCAGCATACTTGTTCCTAGGCAAAATAAGACCTATTTGTAAAATAGATAGATAAAGAGCAGCTGCAAAGAGGCTGCTTGCTCTATGGGTATTAGGGAGCAGAGTCTCTGGGGGATGTGGAATTGTATCCAAGGTTTGTCTAACCTAAGTCTTACTCATTTAGACCTACTTAGTTTACATAAAACTATCCAAGGTTAGTCTAACCTAAGTCTTACTCATTTAGACCTACTTAGTTTACATAAAACTAACATTGGATATAGCCCATAGCTGCACTATGAAAATACTTTCATTCCTTTTTGTGCCTCTCCCACAAATGTTGTCATAAAGAGAGAAAATGAACACAAAACTTGGCTTCCAGTCTTGTCTTGCAGTGGCTTCACCTCATTTTTTCTGCTGTAGTTTTATGGAATGTGCAGTATTGGAATCATAAAAACTTTTTACAATTGGCTTCTGGTCCCATATTTGAGCCCCCTTTTAAGCATGAAGAAGTTTGTGTGTGAACCTGGTAGTTTCCTGCCCTGCTCATATGGCAGCTCACCATTCTTCTGAAGCACCACCATCACCACCACCAAGCAGCTTTGTGGCAACATGGTGAAAGCATGGTGAGTTCCGATGTGACCCTGGTGAGGAATTGGTTGCATGCATCATCAAGGACCGAATTAACTTAGTCATGCATTTGACTACCATAAAAGGGTCATGGTAATGAACCCTTCATGAAGTGTGAGAACATTCACAGGAGAAACACACAGTCTTTCTGTGTGGGTCATAATTTCTTATAATGGATGGGCTGAACCCAGTATGCTGATTTAGCTTCAAATTGTGAGGTCTTGCTCTTTGAATATGGATTTCCTTTTAACAGATAAAAGTAGTAGCAGCAAACCTAGACACAGCGGATTGGGAACTAGAGGCTTATCAACGGGAGAAGCAGCAGAGACTGAATGAGCTGCATGTAGTGGTGCCTCTCAAACTTCATCAGGTGAGGAGTTAGTCTGGCATTTCTGCTACTGACTCCAAAATCTTGCAAAAAGCAAATAACAGGAGGCTTCTGGAGATGCTTACTGTTATTACTTTTTCTCTCATCCTTTATTACTTGTATTCCTTTTTCTTCAGTTTTACTGAGATATGAGGCTGTGGTTAATATTAATTCCACCCATCTCCATAACTGTTTGAAATATGTGTTCAGAAATATGTGACATTTTTTTTCAATTCCTGAGGTTCAAGGATCGCAAATTGTGCAGAACAGATTTCTTTTATTTTTATTGTGGGGTGTATATGTGTGTAATTTGTGTCTCTTTCTGGCAGGTGGAATATATATCCAATGGAGAAATCCCTCCAGACCTCTCCCAGGCTTTGGTTTTTACCAATCAGTCTTTGGTGAACTTGCAGGACAGGATCATGGCCCTGCAGCAAGAAAAGCAAGAACAGAGGGAACTCTATAAGGCAGCCAGGGAGCAACATAAACAGCTCATTCGAGACAGAAGGGAGATGGTGATTAAGATTGACCGTGAGTTGCCAAAAATCCAAAGTTTCTATTTATGTGGTGTGCATATATTTTTTTTTCTGGTCTACATATCACATGGCTAACTACTATTGCCTGGTGATACATTCTGACTGTCCTTGTTTCTTTCTTTAAAAAAATGGAATTGGCATAGATAGGTGGAAGTGTCAGGCAAACCAGGAGTTTCAGAAGAAATAGGTTTTCAGACACTGATGCTCTGGGAGGCTGTGCAAGTACTTCAGATTATTTCTGCCCTGCCTTACCTTTGCACATAGCATCTTAGGCCTCAGATATTATATTTTTTAACATGTATCCATAATGTACATGCTCAAAGTGTAACATGGCATTCTACACAGTGTGTGTGCTGTGTGGATCCATGCCAGAACAAACTCCCGTTTGACCATGTCTCCTCATAGTGTGTGGCATAACATGTGAACCAGTATAATGTGTGATGCAGCGGTGAGCAACCTGAATGATTGCTGTGAACTTGAAATTATTAATACATGTAAATAATGAGACTGTTATGGTTTCCTATGTACTGCTACACTAGTTTGCATGTTCAAAACGTTCTATCTCTTCTTTTAAGGAAAACCTCCAAGTGGGTTACAAATTAAGACTATAAATGTTAAAGGAATCACATCAGTACCAAGTACAAAATAGTAATAGGAAAAATTATTTTAGCAGCAAGAAAAATAAGCTGCTAAAAACCACGGAATGGTATTATAACAAGCATTTTAAAGGGACTGGAAAATAGTCTTCTATTAGGATTGAGCTGTTGCATATGGAAAGGGGTATCTTTTTATTAAAAGGAAAATAGGAGGAATAGATGATGTGGATGCTTTAAATACAGAGTTTTTATCTTGTTAGGACTGGAAGAGAAGTGCAATGAGTTGATGATGATGAAATTTGGTCGGATAGTGGACTTGGAAGCCCTGCAAACTCTTTCTGTTAACACAAACCTGGAGGAACTCAAGATGAAAATGATGGAAAAAGAGCAAGCTCATGCTATGGAAATAAAAGCATGGGAGGTAAGGTTCAATACTGAAGTGCATTGTAGTGCAGACAGGAAGTATCATGCGAGTTGGCTTTGCGAGGAGTCCGGGCAGCACTGAATAAAGTGTATAGAGGAGGCTTTCCTGTATGAGCCAAGAAAGAGGTCAAATCTTGTTTAGGAGGGAGAAGCTAGAGTGTTACTCAGTTTCCCATTCCTTGGAGGGTAGCACTATCAAGTAAGAAGGATTAGAGGGCTTTATGTGGTAAGATCTCATGAGCATCATATATATGAAGCTCACATTTGTAGTCTAAATGCTTGAACTGGCTGAATACGCAAACTATTATATTGCTTGAGGGAGAGCGTTATTTTTTTACTATATTGTCCATCATACATCAGTTTAGGAGAATGAGAATGTACAGGAAATTATTCTTGGTTAGTCTCCCAGAACTCTGGAAGATACTTTTCTATATGGCTCTCCAGATCATTTGTCACAAATACTGTAAGAGTCCTTGTATCTGGGAAATCTTTTAATAACTGAATGATCCTGATAGGGGAAGTTTATTATAAACCTAATATTTTGGTGCTGTGCCCTTTCCACTGAGAAGACTGTCATGATTTACTTGGGAGCTTCTGTGCAAAGATTAGGACCAAACTACCTTCCCACTCCAAACCAGTCTGGAAATAAACTGAGTGTAACTGGTGTCTAAAGGGTACTTGTTAGTATACAAGCATGCCATACTTCCACGTTTAGTGATGAAGGTAAAGATAAACAATCAGTCCTTCAGCTTTTCAATACAGATAAGGATCCTAGAATGGAGTGGTGTGCCTGTGATACAAGCTTTTACCGGACCCTGAGTTTGAATTATGGAGTGAAAAGCAAGAGGGAACTTAATGAAGTCTTTTTCAACCTTTTCAACTTTTTTGTTGAATCATCCCTCCTTATAGCTTTCTAATAAGACAGCTAAGAGGGCCACCGCAAAAGACACGCCTCTGTAAATTATGTGTGACCATTCTCTGGAGCCACAGGCTCATCTTTCACTCAGACAGGGCCCTTCTCCATTCAGGGCAGGGGGATGGCCAGCCTCACTATGTTCAGGATGGTTTAGGATGCAACAGCATGCATAGGGATGTGTTATCTATGTGTAAAATCTCTACAGAATTCATCTCCCATTGTGGTTCTTCTATGGTTTCTGCATGGCACATGTGAAGGAGAGTCCAGGCTATCAATCCCTTTATTGTCCCAACCAAACAGTCTGTCATGTTTAAAGGTGATTATTTTGTCTGTGTGTGGAAACATTTTTCCATTTGTCTACACACTGAAGGCATTTGGATCGAAGAATCACACCTGCATTTCTAGATGAGACTTTGTTTCATTTAAAAGAATGCATGCTAACTGGAAGTTTGAGTTTTCTCTTAATAAGCAAGAGACTGATGAAGCTTAAGCAATCTACAGGCCATGTGAATATGTTATTCCCTTCCTTTAAAGTTTTTGGTTTGCCTTGGTTCTTCACCTTTTGTAGATCCCAGACTCTTAGTACGTCAGTAATCTTGCTCTCATATTGATATCACTCCACCAAGTCTCTGCTTTGTTTCAGGATAAAATCCTTAAGATGCGTCAACAGCTAATGGCAGTAACAAAAGAGAATACTAGTAAACTGAAGAAAATGAATGAATTCTGTGTAGAGAAGATGAAACTTGAAACTAAATTGGATGCACTGCAGAATAACCTGGTAGGATTATTACGGCTTCGAGTACTTATTTATGAGTAGTAGTTCCAATAAGGCAGTGCTGTCCACCCTTCTTCAGCTCAAGAGCAGAATTCCATTGCAGAGAAGCTCTCGGGTTGCATTCTGGTAGACAAGACTAAAGACAAAGCAGGAAGGACCTCAAGCACACCTGGGTAGCACTAAAATTTGCCCTCCCAAATCAAAAAGAAAAACATCCATTGCTAACAGTTTTTATCAAAGTCTTACCTGTCTACTCAAATGTGCAATGGAGAGGCACAGTATAGCACAATTCTACTCAGATTAAAGCTACATTAGGAGGCACGGCACTGCTCATGTTTTCTGAGAAGGCATTTCTATTTAGAACATATTCATGTTTAGACAAGAAAGAGCTAAGACCTGCTCCCCTCCCTTTTTCTCAGAAGTGGCACTTTAAAAAAAAAAACTGCTCAGGGAATGAAGTAGCAAGTAGGTATATCTATGCCTACTCATGAACCATCTCAAGGCACTCTGATACACAAGATGAGCTAAGCCAGTGGAAAAGTTAACTGGTGACTTCAAGGGGCAAGTCAGAAGCAAACATAGTCCTCTGGAAACTGGCACACATGCCAGGGTCTCTCTAAAAGCAAGAAGAAAGAAAAAAATTGCAGAATGCATGAGAAAAATGTCCTGGCAGTCCAAAGGAACTGTAACAACACTAGAGAAAATTTTGGGGTACAAGAAGCAAACAAAAGCAGGGGCATGGCTTCAAAATGGTGTGGTGTGTCAGTCAGGAAAGGATTTGTAGGCCAGATTACAGAATCTCATGGGCCAGAAGTTTTTTTTATCTCTGCATTAACTGCTTTCAGGTTTCTTCTAGGACCTCCAACTTCTATGGAGGTTGTAATGGTAGGCTAACAGTACTGTTTATTTATTCTATTTGAATGGGTATTACTCATGTTTCTTATTTGATGTATGCCTTATATTAAATATAAACCTGTATATTACTCACCATACTTAATCAAAGGAAATTAATAGCTATTTTAATGAACTTTCAGCAAGCCATCTGAGAAGGTAATTTGCCCTTATGATTAAGCCTAAATTATAAGACTATTGTGTGTCTGAACTAATGGAAGCAGGAAGGCAGTTATGCCATAGTTTCTTCCTTGAAGGGGTTTAAGGGGTGTTTCTGGCTTTTGTTTCTGTAGGGGGCAGAATTCCAAGGACCTAGCAGAGCAGACCTTGAGGAGAAGGAGAAACTGATTGCATTAGTTCAGCTGCAAGCCCAAGAAGCAGAAGTCCTTAAGGAAGAAATTACTCTCCTAAGCAGAAAAGATGGTCGTATTTTCCCACCACCTCAGGCTGTATTCCAGCCAGATGGAATGTTGGATTAAACACCATTAATGTATTTCCCTAGAACTCCTTTTGTATGTAAAGTAATCTCATTGTGTGGGAAAAATGAACAGAGTAGCCCTTGAAGTTTTTAGCTTCCATTGTTCAATTGACAGCAGCTCTGAGTATTTAATAAAGTATATGTAACAGGTGGGATTTTCCTTACATGGAAGTTCAGTAACTGGGGAAACTTAGATCTCTTGAATTTCTGCCTTTCATATACCTGTTAAAGAGACAAAGCCACGGTTACTAAAGAGAGGATGGCAGTCCCCACATATTTCATATTCACTTGGCTCCATCTATCTACTTGGCTACTTGTAGGAATCTTTGGTTACATCTCCAAAGAGATGTTTTACATCCTCAAATATGCAGGTGGAAACATATGGAATATATACACTGGCCATTTTGTACAGACAGGGAGACTTGTCTTCCCAGCACTGCTATAAATGTGTCTCTGCATTATAGTACTATAAAATACTAATATGCAACATGTGGCCATGAGTATCCTTGGATTGAATTAAGTAGTTGCAAATCCCCACAATACCAATAAACAATTTTTCATGCAAGACCCTTATTCTGTGTCAGGTACAATGAATGTGAAATCCTGGGAGAAGCACTGATGAGAAGACTGACTGCTTCATTTTGATTTTCTCTTCATGATTCCATGATTACCTTCTAGTTTCTCCCATGAAATATGGCATCTCTTCAAGTGAGATGCTGGCTATATGGAATAGGTCAACAGGCCCCAGTCATCCAGTCCAATGGCTAATTATTCATGCACTTAAAAAGAGCTATTTCCAGATTTGGAACTTCATCTTTCATACCTTGCCAAATCGTGTCTGAATTGATGAATTAAATTTTTAAAGGCATTTTTGTCCTTGACTTTGATTTCAAAGGGTGGCTAACTTTTATTAATAAAACAAACATAATCCCTACCTCTGTAGTAGTAGAGGCACATAGTTCTTAAAAAGGGGGACAGAGTTCCTGGATCACTCTTAATTTATTGTTTGGCTCCAATATTTAATCACAACTGAAACTGCAAGCTAAAATAGTTCTAATGTCTTGAATTTTGAAGGTTTTATTTTCAGACGCATGTAGCAAAGTCCATATCCAGAGATGTAGTTAGGGTTCTATATTGCTATAAAGTAGTATGTGTTTGGTGGAAGGAAAGGAAGTCTACAGAAGGGCAAATTCTCTAAATAAGGTGATGCCATGTAAGCACACCCACCACACTACTGCAGTGACTTCTTTTGAATGACTGTGTGGGACATACCTGATCCCTGATAGTAACAGTACAGTGGGGTAACCTTGTTCATTAGAAGGACCAGGCTGGTATATCTGCCACTGCCATGTTATTTTGGAAAATGCATTTGGCCAAGATGAATTTCAAGGGGAGAAACAGTCTTTATTTACTTGATAAAGCATGGCATTTGTTTCATTACAGGAACACTATCACAGGCTCTGTGTATGTGTATATTGCTTCTTAAGGCAGGTAAGTATTGTGTGTACTTTATATCTGTTTCATTTGGCATTCTGCAGTGCGATGATGAGATAAGAAATTACATAAAAGGTAATCTCATCATTTAGAGGACAGTCCACTGCCCCTCACCTTGATGCAAGCAAGCATGTGAGCTTGCTTATGAGCATCCAGTACATGGGGTGAGGTGGGGTATCAGTGATCTTCACTGCCACTGCACCTCTTGCCCTCCATTTCATTTCACCATCTAGATGAAATGATGCAGAGAGGGATGGAAGGAGGCTGGGCTGCCCTTTGGATCCATCTAAGTCATTGGCCCTGGCCATCCCCCTCCCCACTGCACCCTTTTTATTCCTTTTCAGGGCTGATTTGTGAATGTAGAGGCACAGCTGGCATTGTTTTTTGTGATGGCTATGAGAAAGTGGGGCAGGGGCTCAGCCTTTGGAATCCAAACAGAGGTGGCAGAACTTTGGAGCTGGGACTCCAAATAATCCTATGCGCCACTCCATTACAGGGGGTCATATGATTGTGTCCTTAGCAACATACCTTTAAGAAGCTGAAGAATGTGATTATTGGTCTTCTGCTTATTCTGCTGCTGCAAGGCAGCTCTGATGCCTTCTCAGACATAGAACAGGAAGCTGACTTTTCCAGTTTATGATCTGATGAAGGTATGTGGTGTTGCTCCAGCCTCAGTTTATTCCCTCTCATCTTTGCACATGATACCACTTTTCTCAATGCATTTGTAGAAGGCACATACACATCTATTTACAAGTGCATAAATATATAAATAGAGATGTAATACAAAAATAAATAACTATTTCTCTGTTTAGAATAGTCTTTGTAAGGCAATTTGTTTCCTAGCTGGTGCTAGGAAGAATATCCAAGGCAACATTCAGTGGCAGGCTGCTTGGCTTCTCTGGGCTCTCTCTCAAGCAAGCATCCACTGGATTTGGGTGCCACATTGGTCTTCTACTGTGGCAGAAATCTGTCCTCTCTACATCTTCCACTGGTACTAGTCCAAGGCAGCATGTAGAATCTGACAATACAAGTAAAGACAATGAAATTATATCCTATTATCATCCTTTGAAATGACCACTATGAAAATATGACAAAGAACTGCGATCCCTGCTTGTGTCGATTGCCTTGCATAATCCTCAAAAGGTACTGCAGCTTTTCTGTGAGATGAATATGAATGCATTACTGAAAATGCCAGAAATGTGACAGCTCTTAAGTTGAGAACTGCTAATAAAATGTCAGTGGTAAATTTTAACAGTTGTGGATAATTCTCAAGACTAACCAATGGCTAATGACCAAATTTCATCCTCATTTCTCTCATTTACTAGGAAAAGGCTTACTAGTAAACATTCCAGTAAACTAGTAAACATTCTTTTGACAATTATCTTTCTACATTTCAGAGTTTTTTGAGCCACACTGATGCTTTTTGCAGAGATGGGATGGGCCTGTTGAGGATCAAAGAAGCCTAAATTGGTTGTACACCCATGACAGGGAAATTTACTGTTTGACATTTACTGAAAACTCATACAGTTGCATACAGCCATTTTGGTTGGGATTGGAGCAATAGTATTGGAAGTACAAATACGTTCTAGCTGTTCCAAATTTGGCTATATAAATTACTTCCTGCAAATTCCTGAGGATTACAGTGTTGCATGCAGCAGTGAAGGATGCTTATATGTAAAGCAGAACTTACAAAAGAAGTGTATGCTGCCTTGACAGTCTCCCTTTGTCTGCCGTACACTAGATTCAGAAAGTAACCTTTTTCCTCTCAAGGCATATCAAGCAGCAAGGATCCCTTTCTAAAGTCCCTGTTCCACTGACCTGTATGGAAGACAGTATTCTTCATATCTTCCATAACGGAGTTGCCCTTCTTGCTTTGTGGTACTGAGTGACATAGGCCAAGGCGTTGTTCATGGTGGTGGTGATGGTGGTCCTCATGTTGCTGAAGCAGTTGGTGTGTAGAGTCATCTGGAAGCCCATACAGATAAGAACTATGGTCTAGTACAGGACTGGGGGACCTGAGTGAAAAAGAAAGAAGCAGTTTGAGGCCATCATCAATTTGAAGTTTTTCCATGATCAGCTTCTCGTATATCTAAATACTGATTCTAGCACATTACTTATTTGCTCTTGCTTAGGAGCAGTTATTGATAGAATGCAACAGATTGTTAAATAAATTATTAAATAGGGGTTTTTTTTACTATATCCAAAAGAAAAAAATGCTAACAGAACTTTTTTTTCCCTATCGTGGCTATTGTCACTGCACATTCAGCCTCATGCCTAAAGTTGTACCTTTGGTGTTCAGCTGGAATATTTCCATTTTGCAGTGCCTTCCCCTGCAGAAACGCATTGGCCTCATTCTGCTTAAAATAGAAACAACAAAATGTTAGGAAAATAAGCCAGAAGAAGATTAAAATGTCTTGGTTACAAAGTCAGTGGATGAGAATATCCAATACAAATATAGTTTTAGGAATTCAGATTCCAAAATTGCTTCTGACATTAAAAATTAAGCTTTGAAGAACTGGGCTCAGTATTAATACATTGCACAGAATCACACGGCTATTGCTTCTTTAGGTCTGTACATATGAAAGCCTACTGAGACCTCCATCTCTATGACAGTAGGGTCCTTACACAATTATTTTCTGGTTCTGCTTTTCAAAGGACAAAGTGTTTTAAAATATTGTTTCAGGATAACCTGTTCAAACTAATTCTAGCACATTATTTATTTGCTCTTGCCTAGGAGCTGTTATTGACAGAATGACAGCACTTTTGGTTTCCTTCCTCATTTATGTAAATACTATTTTTTCCACTCATTTGGAGTCTACAGATACAGCACCTGCCCATTCAAATAAATTGAAATAAGACCCAGAACTATTTCAGGTTTACAAGTTAAGACTGCAAACCGGAGCCCCAGCGAAGCATGTTCCTTCTGCTCTTTCCTTTGATACAAAAATAGCTGTGAGAACATACCACTCTAGTCATGCAGCTTTGCCCTGAGCCATTGTCTATAGCAAGGAGCTATGTGAAGGGAGATATTTAACACCCTCTGATGTTACTACAGAAATTACCTGATGAACCTCCTCAGGACCATAATCATGTGGCTTTGCACTAGAATAGGAAATTGTAGCTGAAGGAAAATGGCCATTAGCTCCGTGGTGTGCTGGTAGATGCACACCATTTGCATAGCGTAATCCATTAGCTTGAGAAGCAGAGACTCCTCGCAGTGGCACCATGGTGTACTGGCAAGATGACACCAGCAGTCCTGCTCCTGGAAAGCCAAGATCAATGGTCTGCTCTAAAATGAAGGATGATATGATGCATTAGTCTGAGAACACAGGTCTAACTTAACAGAAAACAATACTTACAAATCCACTGGGGAAGAAAAAGGAAACTGGAGAAAAAGTATAACCAGTCAGCACAGAATAGGATATCGAGGAGTTTTAAAAGATTCAGATCCAATTAAAATAGTTTTGTGCTCATGCACTAATGATGGGAAGTCAAATCTTGATTACATTTACATAAAGTTGTACACTATTTCCAGTGGGATCCTGTGAACGGGACTATCATGAAAGCTGCTGGGTTCTCCTTACTAAATTGCACATAACTTTCCATAAAAGGTGTGCACACACCTCTTAAGAGTTACAAGTTCTTTTGGATTACTGAAGTCACTTACTTTGTTTAGACCAAGCCCTCCAAAGGCAAAATGGGATGAAAGCCACAATGATGAGAACGATGGAGCCCAGCACTCCCCCTACAATCAAGTAGGGCAGATCACTGGAGCGGGCCATCATGGCCCCCGCCCCTAAGACATTATGGCCACTACTAAGTGGTGGATGCTGTACTGTAGACACTGTAGATGGTGGGAGACGTCCAGCTGGCCCTGCAGATTTGCGAGCTTCAGGGAGAAAAAAAAAATAAATAAAGACTGTGACTTGTTACAAACGCACCTCTCCACTTCTTGGTCTACCCAATCACTCTGTTTCAGCCTTGATGTACATTAATGCTCTGTGTTTGATTCTTTCCAAGTTCCAATCATGTCCAAAACATTGGGATTACAAGTAAACTTGCTTCTTTCTTGCCTCTCAATTTCGCTTGGTCCTTGCATCATGAAAACCCATCAATTTTGTGTATTCAGAGCACAATATTGAATGAGCCTCATCTTCTTGCTACTCAGTAGTATGAAGGAGCAATTTTTACCACTTTCTCCAACATATTACATCACTATCTTTTTAAGACTCTACATTTGGCTCATAGAATCTGCTTCTTGTACCTCTGTAGCTTAGAACCTCTATATGTGTTTGGTGTTGATCATCTTTTTAATACGTTCAGTGATATTTATGTCTGTTCACTGGATGGACGCACTCAATGGCCACTATGGCATTATGTGTGCCCTAGCTGAAAACACCAACTATATTCTATTTGTCCCAACACTGAACACACCCCTAAAAATATCCTAACGCAATTAACCTATAAAATAATACCCACTCCAACTGAGCCACCTATTTACCCATTGAAATATAGCTTGCCAGTTTCATGCTGCAGTTTCTCTATCAGTTAGAATATCACCATGTTATGAACTACTTCTTGCCTATAGGGTTGCATGCTATCTCTTACCAATGGGGAGTTCTAACTAGCCTTCAAGGAGTGCACATTGGTTGTATTGCTAGAATTCGTGTCTTCCATTTGTGTCATACTGTTTTCCTGATCAGTTTCATCTCAAATGTAATGATATATGGGATGTGCATTTCTAATTTTGTCTTGAAGCTGTTCATGAGTTGTTCATTAGTGTTAAATCTTAATCAGTGAAGGTAGAGCCTCCAAGAGTGCTGAACTTCCTGAAATTCTAGGTACCTTTGGTTTCACAGATCATCACATTACTGAATTCGCTCTCTCCACCCTCATTGAAACACTGCATTTTGATATCATATGAAGTCTCTGGTTGTAGGTGGCTGATAGAATGCCAGTACCGGTCACCTGAAAAGGATATAACAAAAACATACACTTACATATCAGTTTCCTGATTCCTTATCTCCCTTATTCTAAGCCCATATCTCTATATTATTAAAGGGTCATATTATAAATGTATTGGTTTTTGTTTCCGCACTGATTTGAAAAAGGTGGGGATGTGCCCTCATATTACTTTTTCACATAAAATTGAAAAGGCTTCTCTTTGTTATGTCTATCCAGAAGCAACTGAACCTTAGCACCATCCAAACAAATATTTTGTTTTTAAATACTCTACTTTAAAGGAGTGTCAAAGGGGAAGCATTTTATGGCAATTAAAAGTTGGGGGTCCAACAAACTGCTTGTTACTTACCTTCTACCACATCCTTCTTATAATCACTATCATTATCACTATCAGTTGGTCGATAATAGATGTAAAAACCATGAATTGGTGTATTGTTATTGCTGGCTGGGATGTACTGTAAAGAAGAGCAAAAGGCAGAAATTAACAAAACTATGAGAGCTCATCAAGACCGCTCTTTCTACACAGCAGCTGAAAAACAAACATAAGCAGGTTTCTTGACTGTGGGATGTAAATTATTTTTCATTAGAGTACTCAAGTTCACACACTGTAGTTAACTGCAACAGTTCTGTGGTGGTTGTAGCTATCAGGCTTGGAGGCAGACCCAATTATCTACTGCTACCATGGGCCAAATACTAGGCCAGATTCATAGAATACCAGAGCTGGAAGGGGCCAAGAGGGCCATTGGGTTCAACCCCCTGCTCAGTGCAGGACTCCAAGTTAAACCTTCCCCTCAGATGACTGTCCAATTGCATCTTGAATACTTCTAGTTTGGGAGAGCCCACAACCTCCATAGGTAATTGGTTCCACTGTTGTACTGCTCTGACAATCAGTTCTTCCTGATGTTCAGCTGAACCTGGCTTCCTGTAACTCAAGCCTGTCATTCCATGCCCTGCACTCTGGAATGATCAAGAAGAGATACTATAGTTTGTGACAGCCTTTCAAGTATATCATCTCTCCCTGCAGTCTTCTCTTCTCAAGGCTAAACATGCCCAATTGTTTCAATATCTCCTCACAGGGCTTTGTTTCCAGTCCACAGAATCCTCCTTTTTGCCCTCCTCTGAACCCTTTCCAGCCCAGAATTGCACCCAGTATGCAAGATGAGGCTGAAGAGAGGGGAACTAGTATTTTATGTGATTCAGAAGTGATACTTATATTAATACAGTCCAAAACAGCATTTGCCTTTTTTGCAGCCAAATCACACTGTTCACTCATATTCAGCTTGAGATCTTCAACAATTCCTAGAACTTTCCCACCGGTAGCATTGTTGAGTTAAGTATTCTCCATCCTGTAATGATGCATTTGGTTTCTTTTTCCTAGGGGCAGAACTTGGCATTTGTCCCTATTAAATTCCATTGTGTTGTTTTCAGGACGGCGCTCCAACTCATCAAGATTATTTTGAATTTTGCTTTTTGTCTTATTAGCTATCCCATTTTGTGTCATCAGTAAACCTGATAAACATTCCTTGCACTTCCTAATCCAAATCATTTATACAAATATCAAAAAGCACTGGTCCCAGGACTGAACCCTGTCATACCCCACTAGTTACCTCTGCCCAGTTTGAGAAGCTACCATTGATAACCACTCTCTGGGCTTGTTCTGTAGCGAACTGTGTATCCACCTAATAGTTTTTTCCATCTTGCCCACTTTTAGCTAGTTTGCTAATCAGGATATCTGATATCAAGCTTATTAAAAGCTTTGCTGAAATTGAGATATATTATGTCCACCGCATTCTTACAATCCACCAGGAAGGTTACCTGATCAGAAAAATCAGGCAAGTCTGGCAAAATTAGTCTGGCAAGATTTATTCTTGACAAAACCAAGTAATCATTGCATTGTTTTTAAGGTTCCACTCCAGAATTTTCCCAGAAATTGGTATCAGCCTGACATGTCTATATTTCCTGGGTTCCTCCTTTTTTACTTTTTGAAGAGAAGGGCGACATTAGTCCTCCTGCAACCATCTGGCATTTAACCTATCTTCCATGATTTCTCAAATATAATAGACAATGGTTCTGAACATTCTTCTGCCAGTTCCATTATTACTCCAGCATGCAGTTCATTAGGCCCTGGAAGTTTGAACTCATTCAAAGTAATGAAGTATTCCTTGGACATTTGCCTCAATCCTGCACCTTCAGGCTGTACTTTACCTTTGCCAGGAAGGTCATTGACACTTTTGGGAGAAGACCAAACCAAAGCAGGAACTGAGCACTTCTGCTTTTTCTTTGCATCTGTTATCTTTTTGCCATCCTTCCTGAGTAGTTGAATCAGTTGAATTTATTTCATCTGTACCTATGCATGCACTTCAAGGGTGGTGGTGGTGGTTTTTAGCTTCCCTAGCTAATCTCAGCTCATTCTCAGCTTTCCTTTGTGCCCTATCCTTCCATAGTTTCTGAGCTGCCAACAGTAGGGCATTGACTGGCTGTCTCCATGCTCCTCTTCTTCCCTGCTGGTGCATGCACTCCAATGCCCAGCTGGCCTGTCACAGGAATGTTCCACTGTCGTGATGCCCTGCCATTGTGACAGGATCTCACTAGCAGTGGGGTGGAGCAGCGGGGCAACTGGGCATCAGGGAATGAATGCCAGTAGGGGGGAAAAGGGAGTGCCTTCAGCAGCAGCAACAGTGGGGCAGCTGTGCATAGCGCTTCTGCTTGGTCACTGCCCTGTGCCCTGTGCTGGAGTGGTACCAGTAAGCATGGTACCTTTGCACTACCCAGGGAAGCCCTGGTCTCCTTCCAGGGAAGCTTCACTGCTCGCAAAGAGTGCATGGGCAGTGCACAGGGCTTTACAACCATGGCAAGTGTCCAAAGGAACACATGTCGCTCGCTCTGCCTCTCCTCTGCTTTCACCCTGGGGGAAGTCCCCGGCATAAAGTACCCGAAGTCTGTGCTTTTGACTACGAAAACACTCAACTGGCTAGAAGCATCTTATACCACGACAGAATAGTTAAGAATATATTAAAAAGCAGGAAAAGTTAAGATGGTATTAATAATTAAAATTTCAGAGCTAAGAATCTCCTTGTGTAAAATACTGTTTAATCTCAACTGGGCACAATCTGCTACAGGTTAAAAAAGCTTGTCCCATTCTTTGCATTCCTGCAACAAATCCTCTCTCCGCTACTTACCATCCACTTCAACATAATGGTGGTCTCGTTGATGGCGTCAGTGAAGGTGATGTATGGGCCTGCAACGGGACGCTCATAGGCACGATTGCTGTACCCTGATACCACATATGGTCTAGATGCAGCACTTGGTTCACTCTCCCCCAGTATGTTCAATGCTTGTACACGAAATTTGTAGGATGTGCCTAGAGTGTGGAATGTAGGAACAATGAAGAAAAATGACTGGGAAGTACGTACAGGCAGTTCCCAAGTTACAAATGTCCAAGCTGTGAACAACCTGAACTGCCATAAAGCCTATTCATCTAAACAGAAATACTGTGGAAACTGTCTTTACCAGAGAGAGCGCGGAAGTGAAAGAGGAAAGAGGGGAGGACCTCCAAAGCGTCACCATACAGAGAGAGAGGAAGTGAAAAGGTGGAGGGGGATGCCTTCCTGCCCCACCCATCTGGAGAGGGAAAGCTCTCTGGCATTTCCTTGCTGCAAAGAGAAGGCACTGATGTGTTTGGGTGGGTGGGTGGGTGGTCTAGAGATATTTGCAGTTTTTCCACTTTCATGGGCATCCTGCATCCCTAGTCTCCTCAAACGTGGAGGGCTGACTATACGTGATCCAACTTACATGCAAATTTGACTTAAAGACAAATTTCTGTTTTCTCAGGAACAGAATTCATTTGTAACCTCGGGACTGCCTGTATAACAACAAGCATGATACAAAGCCACTATAGAGAAGTACAGAGAAAATGTGCAATGGGAAGGGAATGTTTATTACCTTTCTCTAATCCTGTAATTTCCACAGAGAGACGGGAAGGAGGAATATCACGCGTGGCTAGCACCCAGTCCCCAGGCTTCTTCAGCTTCTTATATTCCACTCGGAATGACTGAATGGGAAAGCCTCCATTTCCACGTGGGATCCAGGTGACATAAACAGATGTCTCAGATGCCATTGAAATTGTAGGACGGTCAGGAGCCTCTGGTGCTACAAGGAATTGCAGAACCATGTTAATGGAGATAAAATCAATCTCATGGTTTCAGCGTGGAAGAGATGGACCATAGCCAACCTTCTTTGCTCACTGGGGATGCCATATACCCAAATGGGGTCTCAAACTATCATTAATGTTAACAATAATTTAACAAGCCATCAAGACCATACACTGTTTTAGTATCTATACGTTCCTACAACCTGAAACATCTAGAGCTGAATTGCGTTTTTTTTTTTCAAAAGCAACAAAAATGCTTAGCTGGGACTACCAGTGCTCAGAGTTGCACGTTACATCCACTGGTCCTACCTTGGCTATAGCCCTATAAATGAGAACAATGTCACTATTCCCTTTCTCTAAAGAGCATTCAGCAAGCCCAGCAGCCTACATTTCATTATATTAATCCTTATTATTGGTCATATTTAAAACATTCATCACAGTTTTATTTTAAAAACATTGCTCTCTCACTATCATATGCTACTTGGCATCCTGTCTGCAAGTGCTTTTGCCAAAGAAACAGACCTGAGGAAAATGTGACCTAATAAGGACTGGAGAATCAAGCAACAGAGATGAGCCAACTCTCTTGCTGCTGCTCGAACCAGTCTTCTCCTTTGCACAAGTCAGCCTTTCACACTGACAATTTGGCTTCTGGACCTGAAAACCCCTTTCTGCTCCTAATCTGATGTGGCCTTACGGGATAGGCGAGTATTGTCCGATTGATTGCTGTTCCGAGAATTAGTGCCTGGGTCATCCTTCTGAATCTGGTGCTCCTTACTGGCAACAATATCTGGCTTGGGTCGGCGACCTAAACAAGGCAAAAGTAAGTAGCAAAGGTAGTGAGAAATAGCAATGTTTAGCGATTCCAAAATAAAAAGTTCACCATTCCATAACATTCCAGGGAACTGCATGTTTTAGGCTATTTATTATTTATTTATGTTTTAGACTGGCTATTTATTTATTTTCTATACCACCCAATAGATTACAGTCTCTGGAAGGTTTACAACAATGCTTAAAAATAGAGTATTAAATACAAACAGCATTGAAAGCATTATAAAAAGTTTACAATACACAAATTTAAAACCAGATTTAAAACACATCTAAAAAGTCACAATAGCTTATACAAAGTAAATCTTAAAACCAGTTTAAGCAGCTAACAAAGCCTCGGAGTACTAATTCAATGCCTTGTGATAAAGGACAGTCCTAACCTGGCACTAAAAGGGTATTAAGGTAGGGAGCTTATTCCATAATGGGAATCACCACTGAAAGGGCCCCTCTCCTTTTTGCTACCAACTGAGTCTCCCTCACTTGTGAAGGTGGCAACTGGAGGCAGGAAAAACAACTGTCAAAAAAATATTATTTTAAATCATTTTAAATTTTCTATTTCCCCCTAAAGAGTATTATTGTTTCTCAAGTTTCTTACTAGTATGATAAGATACCCATGTGACCCAGTGGGAGAAGTAAGAACATGCTCTGGAATTATAATATCTTAAAAATATAATACTAGTATGCTCCAGATATTAATCATTATCTGCCAAACAGTACTGCCAGGGAGAAATACGACATTATCATAGAAACATTTGTAGAAAGGAAGCAAAGGAAGCTAATTTATGAATGGCAAAACCCCTAGCATTGGGGCAGAGTTAATAATCTCACTCCTCGCAAAAAGATAAATTATGTTTTGAGGGGAAATACTTAAGTTTTACCAGTTCTGAAGGTCACCATGGCTGTCTGGCCCTCTCCAGCACAATTGTAAGCGGCCATCTCCACCTCATATAAACTTCCTGGATCCAGTTTTGTCAAAGTCAAGTGATGCTGGTTGGCAGGCACATCCTGGACTATCCAGTTGTCTGAAGAATTCATCACCTGTTGAAGAACAAGCAACAAGCACACTCATCAGTGGATTCCATGATGCAAAGGGTAAAAGGGCTATAATGAGTTTTTGGCTAAAATCTAGCCAAAGATCTAAAGTCTAAGGTCTAAAGTCACTAAGCGTATGACATATTAGTCCTCTGTTTACCTCTGACTCTACTTCCCTTCCTTTGTTATCTTTCCTGTGTTGAATTTTATATTGTAAGTTTATTATACAACAGTATGTAATGAATTTTTACAAGTTTTAAGTTTATTTGCATTTTTAGCACATTAAATTACCACTCTTCAGAATTCTGTGCTCTACCAACATGCAATTTTAAGCAACCTGGAACTTGAAAGTAAAACTGTTTTGTCATGTAGCCTATTAATTAAAATGACTGCTAGCAAACTTGGAATAGGACACTATTTATTTGAGAAACCTTGAGGCACTCTGAGTGGAAGAAGATAAGAACTGACAATTTCCCCATCCATAACAAATACCACTCAATAATCAAAAGACAGTCAGTTACAAAGTGGAGACATCAACAATCAGAAGTGGAAAATCAATACCCTGAAGAAATTTCCCCCAGAGTTTAATAGTTTCAAAACAGGTTGCAAGCCTCTTGCACCTATGTCAGTTTAGCATTTACTAAAAATATTACAATTTCTCTGTCCTGGCAGAGAAAGTTAGGCATCTTGTTCTCCTTAGAATAGAGAAGTGGTATCATTTTATAATGGGAACAAATCATGGAGAAGTGTCAGGTTAACTCTGGATAGTTCAACCCATAAACATTCTAGAGTTTCTGAGTTCCCGTGCCACCAAACAATGTAGGAACTGGGTATTCCTTGATTAAGACTGGAAGTATAATAGATCATAGAAAAGTAGAGTTGGAAGGGGCCAAGAAGGCCATCGGGTCTAACCCCCTGCTGTTGCAGGACATCAGTTTACACCATCTGACTCAGATAGCTGTCCGGTTTCTTTCTGAATGTCCCTAGTGTGGGAGAGCCCACCACCTCTCTAGGCAACTGGTTCCACTGTTGTATTGCTCTGACAGTGAGGAAACTATTCCTGATATCTAGCCTGAATCTGGGTTGTCACACCTTGACTTGATTATTCCACGTCTTGCACTCTGGTATCAGCAAGAAGAGAACTTGACCTTCCTTTTTGGGACAACCTTTGAGTACTTATAAAGGGACATCATGTCCCCTCTCAGCCTTCTCTTCTCAAGGCTGAACATGTCTAGTTCTCTCAGTTGCTCCTCAGAGGGCAGTGTTTCCAAACCGTGGAAACACCCATAGGGCAGTGTTTTGTTGCCCTCTTCTGGACTCCCTGATTTTTCTGCATATTTCTTAAATCTTGGTGCCTAGAACTGGACACTGTGTTCCAGATGAGGTCTGACTCATAAGGAGTATAGGGAACTACTACTTCTCATGATTTGGAAGTAATACTTCTATTAATGCATGCCAAAAGAGCATTTGCCCTTTTTGTAACTGCACTGAATTATTGGCTCATGTTTAGCCTATTGTGCACAATAACTCCAAGGTCTTTTTTCTTTTTCAGTTCTGTTGAGTCATGTATTTCCCCTGAGTGTGTGGCTTGCATGCTCTTTTTGTCCCCAGCAATTAAAAAACTCTATGAACTACCATCAAGACATGCAATCTGGGTCCCAGTATACAAATTTGTAAACTGAAACATACGGTATAATACATCTACTAAAGGCAATTGAATGAATTCTGTTATTTGGCATCCCACACTTGAAGTTGTACACACACTTTCTATATTTTATTTACTTTTTTCCAAATTGCTTGGCTTTATATCGTTCATTTTTACAGTTAAATCATGACTTTTGACCCCATGGATAAAACAAGCACAAGCATGAGCTTTGCTCACAATAAGATACCATAAGCTTTGTGACACATTAAGTTACCATTCATTCAGAACAAGTGTACTGTATTTTGGAAATATTAGGTCTCAATACTGCATGCCTCAGTAGCAGAAAAATATTTCCCCATACTTTATGACATCACATTCTCCTTCTAAGTTTACTGGCTTATCTGTGCACCATCCTCAGCCCTGAAACCCCACTAGGCAGACCTTACTCCAGTCATGCATCCTATCTATCTATCTATCTATCTATCTATCTATCTATCTATAAAATTAGCATGCTGTCAAATTACTAACGTCTCAGGATGGCTAACAGCATAAATAAATTGACGACCCACTCTGGCTGCAAATTAATAAAAACAATAATAAATTTTATTATTAAAACATATTAAAATACTGATTAAATAAAAAGGTCTTAACCTGGCACTGAAAAACATATAATGACAGCGCCAGGCGGACCTCTCTGGGGAGCGCATTCCATAGTTGGGGCACCACAACGGAGAAGGCCCTCCTCCGGGTACTTTGTCTCCTAACATCTTTCACAGAGGGTTCCCAGAGGAGGGCTTCTGTTGCCGATCTCAGGGGGCGGGAGGACAAATAGGGAAAAAGGCGTTCCTTTAGTATCCTTGTCCCAAGCCATTTAGGGCTTTATATGTAATAACCAGCACCTTGAATTGAGCCCGGACTTCAATGGAAAGCCAATGGAGCTGATAGAGGACTGGGGTTATATGAGAATAACGCCCAGTCACCGACAGCATCCTGGCAGCTCTATTTTGAACCATTTGAAGTATCTGGACTGTCTTCAAGGGCAGCCTCATCTAAAGCACATTACAGAAATCCAACCAGGAAGTAACCAATGTGTGTGCTACTCTTGCTAGGCAATCTTCCTCCAGGTAGGGACGCAGCTGACAGATTAGCCAAAGCTGCAGGAAAGTGCTCCTCACCACCGCTGTCACTTGGGCTTCCAAGGACAGCTCTGGGTTGAGGAGCACTCCCAAGCTGTGGACCCTGTCCTTTAGAGGGAGTGCAACCACGTCCAGGGCAAGGCCCAAGTGACCTACCCAGGAGCTCGAATCACCCACCAACAGAACCTCCGTCTTATCTGGATTGCGCTTCAGTTTATTGGCCCTCATCCAGCCCATTACCTCGGCCAGGCACCGGTTCAGTACAGCCACTGCCTCACCTGGGTGAGTTGAAAAAGAGAGGTAGAGCTGGGTGTCATCATCATACTGATGACTCTGCAGCCCAAATCTCCTGATGACCTCTCCCAGCGGTTTCATGTAGATATTAAATCGCAAGGGGGACAAAATGGAGCCCTGCAGTACTCCATGGCAAAGTTGCCATGGCACAGAGCCAAAGTCCCCCAGCACCACCTTCTGGAATCAGCCTTCAAGGTAGGAGTGGAATCACTGCCAAGCAGTGCTTCCTACTCCCAGTCCTGCCAACCTATCCAGGAGGATACCATGGTCGATGGTAGTGAAAGCCGCTGAGAGGTCCAGGAGGACCAACAGGGACGCACTCCCCCTGCACAGGTCATCATACAGGGTGACCAAGGCAGATTCAGTACAGTATCTGGGTCTGAAGCAAGACTGAAATGGGTCCAGATAATCAGTTTCATCCAAGAGTACCTGGAGTTGTCCCGCCACCACCCATTCCAACATCTTGCCCAAAAGCGGGATGTTGGCCACCAGTCTATAACTGGTGGCCACCTCCGGATCCAGAGATGCTTTCTTTAGGACAGGCCTGATTACCGCCTCCTTTAAAGGAGCAGGCACCCAGCCATCCCACAGAGAGGCATTAATAACCTCCAGGATCCAGGAACCAATCCTGTGTTTGGCTTTGGTGAGCAGCCATGGGCAAGGCTCAAGTAAGCAGGTGGTAGGACGTACTTGTCCAAGCACCTTGTCCACAGCATCAGGCCGCATTAACTGAAATTCATCCATTAATACCTGACCGGACGGGGTCATTGGTGTCTCCCCGAAGGGATCTGAATCAATTGTAGATTTATATACATATTTAAACGTTGCCCTTCATTGATTTTCCCAGGACAGTTAAAATATAATAAAATGACTATGGATACGATCCTGGAAGGGTGCCTGAAGGGCCATAGGATAATATGGGGGCTTCACAGGCAGAGGGAGATCTGCCAATAGAGGTTCTCCTTGGATGGCAGCAGGCCTTTCTATCACTGTGACTGCTGTCTAGTAAGCCAGAATGAAGAGGGGAAAAACAATATAACCATAGACTTCCCACATGCACACACTCATTTGGGAGTGCTCTATAAAATGTAAATAAAATGAATATAATAAGCTAGAAAAAACAGTCAGAATTAAATGGCTTCTAAAAAGCTCTGAAAAAATAAAACAAGTCTTATCAGGGTGCCAAACTGGAAATAAGATGCTAGACAAACCCCTCTGAGAAAAGCATTCTGCAACTTGCAGCACCACCATTATGAAGTTGTGGCTAATTCTCTGGTAGTGACCAACTCACCTCGGATGAGTGAGGCACCCACAGGAAGCTCTCCACTGAAAATCTTATCATATGAGTTACAGACTTCTTCCCAATTTGCCTAGAAGCTAGGTTCTGGCTCCTATACCTCTGAAGCCACTGTTCGTACCTTGCAACAATTGCATGCACAAGTTCAGACTATTCTTTTCATCTTCACCTCCAGCCTGGTAACCTGAACACAGACTGCAGTCATAATGTTATAATTCATGCTGTGAATGGTAGTGTCAGATGTTCTGCTATAACCCAGTTCTCACTTTTAGGAGTACTTGTGCATTACACCGCACACGTTTAACACAATTTCAGTAATATTTGGCTCAAAGACTACAAAGTGGCCCATGCCATTTTTGTTAGGAAAGGGACCATACCTGAGCATGCCCATAAACTATAATTGCACAGCCAGAATATATATATTGTAATGAGCTCTGGTAACATCAACTTTTTCATAAGTTTTCTTAAATTCAGTTTCTCCATTATATAAAACCTATTTCAAAGTAGTCATGCAAAGACAGTAATGTAAGGGTTAACAGAAACACATTCCATCTGTAAAGACCTTTAAAGCACAAGAAAGAGTCTCCAGCTGAGAATTTGCTCTGTGCTGGAAACATATTAGTGCTGAGTGCAGTGACCCATGGTGACTCCCTCTGACCCAAAAACCTGCCAGGTGAAGTCCCTGAAAAAAAGAGGGATCCCAGCCAACCAAACACCAACAAAGGGATTAACTGGAAGCCAAGATCCCATGCTGGTCTCAAATTATTCTTTGGTATGTGATTGTGGATTGCATTCTGTCTCACTGGGAGAAATATATTCAGTGTTAAAAAGGTAATGCCATGATCTCAAGTTCTAGAAATAAGAGCCAAGATGTCTCCTATTTTTATGCTTTCATTGCATGCCACCCAAATTTCAGAAGAATCATGAAGAAAAAGAATGCAAATTCCACAGCTATATACACTACATGCCCCCCGCCCCACTTGATTAGCCCATGGTCACTAGATGCATCCCTCTAACTTCGCAATTCTCTCCCTCCTGCTTATCTTTATCTTGCACCAGCATTACCAGTTCCCCATGTCTGTTCCCAGTGCTGGTACTGACAATGCTACCCCAGCCCTCACTTTCATAACCAGCACAAAAGACAAAGATCCTCTTCTATTAAGGGGGAATGGGAGTTGCTGCTACATCAACAGGTAAAATAATAAAAAACCTTATCAGAACTTTTAAAAAACCTGTAATATAGCACTGTTATCAGTCTAGATGACACATGCGAAATCAGAATTGTGGAACATGCTGACCTTGCGATGTTTTATAACATAGTAGAGGATGGGGACTCTGCCACCATGCCGGGGTCTCCACAACAATTCATATGAATCAGTTTTGGTAGTCCGCGGAGAGCTAAGGATGACAGGGGCCTCAGCCAGAGAAACCAGCTCTTTGGTGGTGCACTGGACAGATGCTGCTGGTGTTGTAGGCTTGGGTCTTAGGAGGACAACCTTGTCTTTGAGCATTTTTTCACTGCTGCTAAGCCTGGCAGGTGACATGGCAGACTGAGCTGAGTCTCCAGCAGAGCCCTGCTGTGGCTTCAGAGTTGTTGTTTCTAGATAGGAGGAGAACTGACATTTTAACATTTGTACAAATGCACATTTACCAAAACAACTAACACATCTTATACTATTGATGTCCAGTTATTTGCAAAAGCAAAGGAAGGTGAATCTTTAATAGAAATGATCACATCAATCTTCAGTCAGCATTCAATCGCTTTTTCTTAGTTTACTCCTATGATCTCAGCTTGTGAATGGAGTCCATTCTCAAATGACAGTAAAACAGTTAGTCCAAGCTGAGGATCATGACTTTCTGCTATATTAAAATTGTTCAGTCTCAAGTGAAAAGGCTTTCAGCTTCTTTGGAGAGAGAAAGTCTGCTACAAGTAGCCAAAGATGGAAGCTGTAATAACATGGGATTTCAATGCACTAATCATGAGCCTACTCTTTTATAAACAAAACATGAAGGTTGTCTTAAGGACACCTACATTCTACATTCCTTTAATTGCAGGTATGTCTCATACAAATTACATTTTAATTGGAGCATTTGGATTCATGCAAAATTGGAGATATTTTGGATATGAGTACGTTTTCAAAAGAGGAAGGAGTAGAAAATTATCTCAGAAAAGGGGCAACATTTTAATCATTTACTGTTTGATTTTTTTTGCGGGGGAGGGGTAAAGGACCCTTAGCTCTGCAATCAAATTAGGAGGGCAAAATATAAATCATCTTGATTTAAAAATGGGTAAATAACTTAAGGACACAACTCTATGGATTTTCAAACAGAGAAAAATCCTGCAACTTCTACCATTCCCCAGCCAGTTAGTCTAAGAGATAAATGAATCTTTCTCTCTAGGACTGTTTCCCAAGAGTAAGAATAGATGTGCTCAAGGCCAGCTTGGTTTCTGTGATTTCAGCTGACGCAGCTCTGTATCTAGTTGTATCACTAAAACACAGTGAAAGCTAGAAAACTGCTAAGATAAGATTTTCAGAATCTTACCCTAAGAATCTAATGAACTGCAAGACATGGAATGCCATATATATATAGATAGATATACACATACATGTGTTATAACCATGCCATATATAGACATGGCAACATGCATTCCTATATGAACCCCCTTGACTTCACTGAAGACCTACCAGGCCGGGCAGTTCTCAACTGTACCATAGCTTGTGCACTCCCAACTTCATTTTCTGCCATGCATTGGTATATCCCTTCATCCTCAGGCCCAACACTGGAGACCCACAGAACTTTGCGGGACAGCTGTATACGATGACTGGAGAAGAGAGGAACTGCATTACGCAGCCACACAACTGTTGGCTGGGGGTTTCCTCGAACCTTGCAGGTGAACTTTGCACTCTGACCCCATGTGATGATCTGTTGGGATAGTTCCATGCTAACCTCTGGGGGTTCTGAAAAGGAAACAAGAGCATTTCAAATTACGATGGGGCCAGTGTATGACTTATTGCTTGCTTCTGAAACTGTGGAATAACTTAATAAGCTATCCTCATTAAGTCTATATGTTATGAATAGGGTTCATAGCAATATCCAAAACTATTTCTCCTCATATACAACTATTTTGCCTGTAATAAAATCAACCATAAGTCATAGCTTCATACCCTTCAAAAGCTATCATTGGAAGACAGGCTGCTGCCCCTTCTGTGATGCAAGGTTCTGGAGTTCATGAGCCTTTGATGCAGCTTCTTGGGATGTTAAGGCTTACATACTATACATGCATTGAACTCTAGAAATCAGTTCCTTCAAAAACAAGTACCTTCTTGTGTATTCATGTATAGAAGTATCTACCAAACTGAGTCAATTATACATTTTGATTGACCAATTAGAAATTACCTAGCCCTTATGAGCTGTATTTATTGCATAAGGGAAGCCACACCCTTGTGTCTACAAAAGCTGATCAGTGCTGTCAAGGACTGGTCCTTTTGGAAGGCATCCATTCATGGGTTTGCCATAAGTTAGAGATGACTTGATGGCAAGTAACAACAACTAATAGTAGTAGTAGTACTACTACTTAGCCCTTGTAAGGTTATAACCTAAACCTCCACCCCCATTTTTTCCTCTTACAAATGAGACACAGGAAATGTCCCTGATCTTTTGCCTTGATGATCAAACTTGAGACTGCTTTTCCTGAAATCATATTCATTTCTGAATAAGAGAGAAGTAGGGACTAAAGGATTTCTAAGTTACTGTGCTACTAAGAACTTCTGTCTGCCCTTTACAGTACATTCCATCTAGCTTAGTACATGTTTAGTTAGTGAATATACTTTTATTTTCAACTCTCTCCCCCTCTCTCTCTCCCCCCCTGTGTGTGTGTGTGTGTGTGTGTGTGTGTGTGTTTGCCTAGAGCTACTATAGCTCAATAAATAACTGTGTTTTAATCCTCCAGCTATTATTTGGAAAGTCAAGGCTTTAGTTCTGCCCTCAAAGCTTGCCTGAAGCTACTTGTGCTATTTTGCTTCTTTAGTATACTTTTGTGGTGCCCTTAAATTAGCCTTTTGACCTAATGGCAGTATACCCCTTTGAATAGGCTAGCAGTAGCATTACTGTGAGATCTGATCATCTGAGTCTTGTTGACCCCATTGCATTTACTCAGTTACAAGCAAGATGACTCTGAAGAAGCATGAGAGTGCTAACTCTTCTTTGGTCAACTGCAAGTCCATAACAGTCCATTCTGTGTAATCATTAGAACTGAAAAAGAATGTAAGGCCAAATGTTGTATCTTCAAGGGCATGCTATCCTGCCCTGAATGGACACTAAAAAATCTACACAGTCTCTGCTAAGCCTTGAATCCAATCATCAGGTCTAATTAATTCTATTAAGATTCTAACATGCTTTGGAGAATCAAATTCTATTAATACCTCTGTAAGTTACCTATTGTATAGGAAACATTTGGCTTCCTGGCACTCAGCAATATCAGTGATAAAAATTGCTTCCTTTAGATACCTAAATTATTCACTCTAATTTCCCCAGAAAGGTTTTGCTGGGAGAGTTGGAACAGAAGAGATTGGGAGCAATTTACCCATCTCCCAGGTAGAACTTGGGAGAAAGCAGGTACAATGTACATGCGAGAGAGAGGCGGGTTGTTCTTGAGATCACACAAACCATTATGCATCATAGTCACTTTCTCTTAGGCTATTGGGACTAGGCGGGAAAACTGTGGGAGGGGGGAAATTTCTCTCCCTTCTGTTCCCGGGCTTCCAGGTGACTAGCAGTTGTCTATGCAGATAAATTCTTTGTAAAATGTCACCCATATTGCTTGTAGATACTAAGGGAACTCATCCCTATCTGCCTAAGTGCAAGATAAAGCGGAGTGATGGGAGCTGTTGAAGAAAGATTCCAGGAAAAATCTAGTTGGTCCAGCCTTGCTTGTGAGCACTAAAAGTCACCTTAGAACAGTTCTGAAAACTGGAAGCATGTGGGATTAACCAGAACAGTGTCTTGTAGGGGGCATATATGCAGACTAGATCAACAAGCATTTATATTATAGTGATTCCTAGTCAAATGTTATTACAAACACTTACTGTTTAAGGTTGTAAAATCTCATAGCATAATATAGCCATAGAAAAATAAGCTCAATATTTACTTAAGAAAAGTGCAGTGTGACTTAGAAATTTAGAGAGAAGTGCCTACTGAGCAGTGGGTGCCAATCTTGCCGTTAGACCCTAATGTACAGCAATATAACAGGTAACCCTCAGGTGGTTTTGATGAAAGAAATGGGTACAGTCTAAAAAATAGGGGAAAGCATCTTATATATTACCTACATAATATAGGTAATATAGAGAGATATATACAACTTGGAAAAGGCAGTGACAACATAGGTACTATCACCAATAAAAACATCCAAGAACATATAATGACCAAGTTTCAATCAGCCCCTGTACTCTACTCTGCTTGTAGCTGCCATGTCAAAGAAGACAGGAGAGGAAGGAAAGGCATTTCAACTTGACTCACCAAAAACCTGAACATTGTACAGAACGAACGCTGCTGCAGCTTCACCCACTCCATTGTCAGCCATACAGCTGTAAGTCCCAGAATCTTCCTCAGTAATTGTATCAATAAGGAGATTGCTGAGAAGGAACCGTGTCTTGTTGTAGCTAGAGACACTGGAACCATCCTTCGCCCAAGTGACACGTGGAGGTGGAATCCCACTAGCTACACATTCAAGAATGAGGGTCTGGCCCTTTGTGACAATGATGGTCTGAGCCTCTGGGGGATAAATTATGCGAGCAGCCTCAGCTGTTGAGCCTAACACAAGGAGAAAAATCAGTGGAAGAAAAGTATTACATTGTTACAAACCAGGACAAGACCAAGAAACATACTATGTAGGGAGAAAAAGGATGATGAAGAAATTTGGAACATGCTGGCAGCAGCAGATCTATGCCCATGAAACTTTCTGCAAGCGCAACTGAAACCTCTGTGGTGGATGTGCTTCCTCTATCCATCAGTGAAAATCTGTTCAAAACTTGTGAAGGAGAGAAACACAGTTTCCACAGGACGTCCCTTCTGACCTTTTCTCTATGGGTATATGCATTATGCATATGCATTATGACAATGCACAGTTATAAGCATTAAGGATGCAAACAGAGGCGGCCTCTCAAGATATCAAATACACTGACGAAACCAGAAGGAACAGAAAGAAGTACAGCAATTTCTTTAGAAAGTAGTACTTTGAATTGAGCTCTTGTATGGAACGCAATTACTCTGAATGACCACTATGATCACCTTGTGAAACAGAAGCAAAGGCCCACCATCTGGCCGCCGAGTGCTCCGCGGGTCCTGCTCCTGCCCCCTCCTCTGGTGTAGGTGAGAGCCGCGCCAGTCCGGGGCGGGGTGCGGGAGAGGGGCCGCGTGGCCTTTAACTCGCTGGCAGCGACCAGGGCAGGCGGCCGAAGGGCGTCAGCCTAAGGGTGGTGACGCCGTTTGGGGCCGTTCGGGGCTGAGCTGGAGCTGGGCTGGCCAGGGTCTATGTTGTTTGCCGGAGGGTGGGATTGGTCAATGTGGGTGGCGGGGATTGTGGGTGTGTTTTTCAGTGTTTTTAAGTGTTTTAAGGTGTTTTTAGTTGTTTTAATGGATTCATCTCTGGCTTTGAGTATGGGATTGCCTGGGGAGCGCATGGGCGCTGCCATTGGGGTGGTCATGGGCAATGGATTTTATGGCGTTGGGGGTCTAACATGTTCATGTAGAAGGAGGAGGGACAGGTGGTTAGCACCTGTTCCCCCTTCTAGTTATTCCCCCAGCCTGAGGGTTCCAGGTAGTCCTGTCAACCGCTCCCCCAGGCCTGTCAGTGCTGCTGCTTAATGCCAGGTCAGTCCACAATAAATCTTCCCTCATCCATGACTTGATTGTGGATGAGGGGGCCGACCTGGCTTGCATTACAGAAACCTGGGTGGGAGGGGGGGACGTCTCCCTCTCTCAACTGCGCCCACCCGGGTACCTGGTCCAGTACCGACCACGCCTGGAGGGGAGGGGAGGGGAGGGGGGTCACTTTGGTTTACCGAGCCTCTATTTCCCTCACGGGGCTTCCTGTTCTCTTGAGGCCGGGCCTAGAGTGCCTCTACTTGGTGTTGGGTGACCGAGACAAATTGGGGATTCTGTTGGTGTACCGTGCACCCTTCTGCCCAACAGACTCCCTGCCTGAGCTGACAGAGATCGTCTTGGACTTGGTGTTGAAGACTCCCAGGATGTTGGTCCTGGGGGACTCCAATCTCCACGCCGAGACTGTTCTGACCGGGGCAGCTCAGGACTTCATGGCTTCCATGACAGCCACGGGGCTGTCTCAGCATGTCACTGGCCCAACCCATGAATCTGGACACACTCTGGACCTGGTTTTCTCGACGGAACAGGAAGAGGGGGATCTGAGGGTGAGGAACTTGTGTCTGACACCCCTGCCATGGTCAGATCAGTTCCTCATGAGGTTTGAGCTTGAGAGTGGCCTTTCCCTCTGCAAGGGTGCGGACCCAATTGTGTTGGTCCACCCCCGGAGCTGGATGGATCTGGATGGATTCCTGAAGGCCCTGGGGGAATTCCCGGTTGATAAGGCTGGTGCTCCTGTCGATGCCTTGGTCGAACTGTGGAATGGGGAAATGACCAGGGCTATTGACATGATCGCTCCTAAGCATCCTCTCCCGCCTGGCAGAGCCAGTTCATCCCCCTGGTATACACCCGAGCTACGGGCAATGAAGCGGGTTAGGAGACGTCTAGAGCACAGGTGGAGGAAATCAGGGGATGAATCTGACCGAACACACTTAAGAGCCCATTATCGGGTCTATGCTGTAGCGGTGAGGGCGGCGAAGAAGAAATTCTTCTCCTCACAATGCCGTCCGGCGGAGCTCTTTCGGGTGGAACAGGAGCTGGTTCATCCAGGCCCAAAAAAAGATCCCGTGCCACCCTCAACGGCCTGCTGTGACGACTTTGCCAAGCATTTCAAGGAGAAAATCACTCAGATTCATCATGAGCTGGACTCCACTAGTGACTCAGAACCTTTGGGGGAGGTGCCAATGTTGCCGTCTGGTACACAATTGATGGATGAATTTCAGTTATTGCGGCCTAATGATGTGGGCAAGGTGCTTGGACAAGTACGTCCTACCACCTGCTTATTGGACCCTTGCCCATCTTGGCTACTCATGAAAGCCAAGGACAGGATAGCGACCTGGATCCTGGAGGCTGTCAACGCCTCTCTAAGGGACAGCCAGGTACCTGCCCCTTTAAAGGAGGCGGTAGTCCGGCCAGTCCTAAAGTAGGCATCCCTGGATCCAGAGGCGGCCACCAATTATAGACCAGTGGCCAACATCCCCTTCTTGGGCAAGGTGTTAGAGTGGATGGTGGCGGGACAACTCCAAGCACTCTTGGATGAAACTGATTATCTGGACCCATTTCAGTCTGGCTTCAGACCCGGGCATGGTACTGAATCTGCCTTGGTCGCCCTGTACGATGACCTGTGCAGGGAGAGAGACAGGGGGAGTGCATCTCTGTTGGTCCTCCTGGACCTCTCAGCAGCTTTCGATACCATCAACCATGGTATCTTTCTGGATAGGCTAGCAGGATTGGAAGTTGGGGGCACTGCTTGGCAGAGGTTCCGCTCCTATCTCAATGGCCGATTCCAGAAGGTGGTGCTGGGGGACTATGGCTCTGTGCCATGGCAACTTTGCCATGGAGTTCCGCAGGGGTCCATTTTGTCCCCCTTGCTATTCAACATCTACATGAAACCGCTGGGAGAGGTCATTAGGAGGTGTGGGCTGCGGAATCATCAGTACGCTGATGACACCCAGCTCTACCTCTCGTTCTCTACCAATCCAGGTGAGGCAGTGGCTGTACTGAACCGGTGTCTGGTCGAGGTAATGGGCTGGATGAGGGCCAATAAACTGAAGCTCAATCCAGACAAGACAGAGGTCCTGTTGGTAGGTGGTTTGGGCTTCGGGATCTGGACCTTGTCCTGAATGGGGTTGCACTCCCTCTTAGGGACAAGGTTCGCAGCTTGGGAGTGCTCCTCGACCCTGAGCTGTCATTAGAAGCTCAGGTGACGGCGGTGGTGAGGAGTGCTTTCCTTCAGCTTCGGCTGATCCATGAGCTGCGTCCCTACCTGGAGAACGACTGCCTGGCGACAGTGACACATGCACTGGTAACTTCCCGATTAGACTTCTGTAACACACTCTACATGGGGCTACCCTTGAAGACAGTCCGGATACTTCAATTGGTGCAAAACAGAGCTGCCAGGTTGCTGACGGGGACTGGGTGTTGCTCTCATATAACCCCAGTTCTCCGTCAGCTTCACTGGCTCCCCATTGAAGTCCGGGCCCAATTCAAGGTGTTGGTTATCACCTATAAAGCCCTCAACGGCTTGGGACCCGGTTATCTAAAGGAACGCTTGCGTCCATATATGTCCTCCCGCCCCTTGATATCAGCAGCAGAGGCCCTTCTCTGAGAACCCTCCATGAAAGATATTAGGAGGGTGAGTACCCAGAGGAGGGCCTTCTCTGCAGTGGCACCCCACCTATGGAATGCGCTCCCCAGAGAGGTCCGCCTGGCGCCGTCGTTATTTGTTTTTCGGCGCCAAGAGAAGACCTTTCTATTTAAAATGAATTGTTAATTTATGAATTGTATTTATTGGGTTTTTATGTACATGCCAAGATGTTTCCGGTTTTTTAACTCTAATTATATAACTGTTTATTTATGTTTATTTATTAATGTTGTAAGCCGCCCCAAGGCTTTTTGCAAATGGGGCGGTATAAAAATGGTTTAAATAAATAAATAAACATGTGTGTAAACAATCTCTCCAAGATGAAGGGCTTGCTTAAAACATTAAAGTTAGCTTATGCTGAATATATTTGGTGGCATCAGCAAAATGGAGATAGGACAACATGACATGGAACCCAATATTCATGGAACCCAATATTCAGAACAGGTGACTTACGTCTCACACGGAGTCTCTCACTAGACACAGATGTTTTTATTTCTTGGGTGACAGGGTTGTAGGCTGCACATTTGTATGTTCCCTCATCATCCTGGCTGGCATTGACTATCTGAAGATTCCCAGATGGCATGATCAAGTAGTTGTCTATTAAAACAAAGCAGAGAAAGATCAAGAACTGCTCCCTTATGCAGCAAAATTCATACTATGCAATTTCTACCATGTAACGGACCAGAACTGAGCAACTATGGGAAGTTCAGGGATCATTTTCACTTACACCACCATTCCCTGGATCCCTGATTGGATCCAGGAATCCCAGTCTTGCTCTTGCTGCCACCGTCACTTCAGAGTAGCCATGCCAAACTAATTTTCTGATTTTCAGCAAAAACTACTACAGAACACCACAATGCCAAACTTAACTTTAAACAAGCTAAATCTGGCCACTATAACATTGTATTACAGTTTGCCACCAATATTGGTAGACAATTAATTTTTTAAATGTTGTTGCAAACTGCACAACACAGCATGATGTAATGCATCAGAAGCAATGGGCTGTTTTTGCCACATGAGGATGCAATGGGGACTATGGGTCTGGTCATGGGTTTAATGTTGTCCACCCACAGTCTGATACAAGGCAAGCTGACTTGGCTTGAAATTGCCTCAAAGGACAAAGAAAAAATAATGTATTATTTCCAAGGCTCCTAAACCTCCCTTTCTTATACTCAGTTGTGACAAACTCATGGACCTTCACCTATGAAATTCACCTATTCTAAAAGTATTTTGCAGCAACCAGACATACCATCATACAAAGTGACAAGACAGTTATGAAGTCAGCTACTGGATAAAGAACAAGAATGTGAACAGAGAAGCCAGAGGACACAGGGAAACATCAAAACAGATTAGAAGTTTAGAATGAAAAAAGAGCAAACTCCCATTTCAGATTCTCCTTCTTTCCTGATCAGTATCAGCTTACCTCTGGAGGCCTCCAGCCATTCTTGTTTCACACTGTAACGAACCTGGGCCTTCGGATGGCTTTCAGGAAGATCACATGCAATCACTGCTGTATTTCCCTCATCAACTTCTATCACATGCTGACCATCATATTTGAAGTCTTTCAGGTCTGTTAAGATGACCACAAAAGGATCCGTTAAAACTGAGAGATATTAACTCAGAGTCCAAGAGAAGTAAAAAGAAGCACCAGGGAAGTGGTGTTCTAGGTCCTGTATTTATTTTGAAAGGAAGACCACATTGTTCCCATTAGACCAGAGCTAGGCATTTTCTGAGGGTGGGTGCATCCAAGGTGAATTTCCATGACTGGGACCTACAAAGGTTCAAGCCTTTGGCACGTCTGAGTTCTAGAAAGTGACCTTGTTCTTCTAAAGTTGGCTTAGCCTGCACCCACTATGTTGAAACAATAGCAAACCAACTGGCAGTTTTATTGCGAACTGCTCAAAGATCTTAGGCTTACAGGTGGCATAGAAATGAAATTAATAATAATAATGAACTTCAATGGTGTAACACAATGGAGACTGAAAAAAAGCAAATTTGTCCTACAATAAATTACCATGGAACCTGGGCTGCACCACTGCTGCACCACTGGCAGGGGGCAGTAGCAGCTGCATTAAAGGCTAGTGGGACTTATTTCTCTCATTCCTGCATTAGATATTCTCATTTCCTCTTCTGAAACCACTACAGCCAGTGTTCATTGTTTGAAGTGTGCCATTTTTTATGCTCCAAGTGCCCTTTATTTAACATCCTAATGCTAAACATGGCAAGAAAGACCAATCTTCGTGTTAGGAGGGAGACATGGTGGTCCCAACCCATTGTTTTACTTATAATACTACTATAGGGTAGGATTTCTCACTAGTAAGAAAGACTCATCAGACAGAAGATGGTTATTTAATGCTCAACCCATTGCGTACCAACTCTTGCAATTTCCCCTACCAATCAATAGTTTTAAAATACTTTGCTTCAGCTGGGCTCCAAAATGAGAGGTAAGCCAACTGAGAGAAAGATGGCTTTGGTAGAGCATTTTCAGGAAAAAAATGTGGGCCAAAAAAGAGTCGAGCAAGCCTCTTATCTGTTCACAAATTCCCTCCTGCAAATGCTGCCTCTCCATTACTTTAGCAATGTGTCTGTGGGGCTACCCATTTGCCAGTGTAACAGCTAGTTCTGTACTCTGTTGCATTGATTTCAGTGGAATCAGTATCCATATATGCTTAGAACTGCATTGTTTCTGTCACCAAGTGTCATTTCCAAAGTTATCTGAGGATGTGGTCCTGTTTCCATTTCGGCCACTTGTTTTTGTCAAAAGTATTATGGCACTAACTAAGCAAAACGTATATTGCCTCTTGGTCAGGCTGGTAATTTTTAGTGGAAAGAGATTGTGACGTTTAATATGTTACTTGTCCCCTTGTCTTCCTCCTGCTCTTCATAATTATAAATGCTATCTAATTTATATGAAAACGTGTCTGCGATGGGGGATGGATGTTCAAGGCATCTTGAATATAGACTGATGCTGATTTTTAGAAGTTGAGCAGAATTTGAAGATTGCATGTGATTTAAAGAATGCAGCCAAGATGACCTCTGCATCAACTGCCCTGCCGCTTTTGTGTTCAATGGGACATAATTTTATATATATATATATATATATATATATATAT